AAAATGTGGGCCCCTGTGAGCTGCCCCCTGTGATCTATCATTTGAGAGGCACTAACAGCTGTTAGGTAACAGTTAACCTGAGGTCATTTTCCACTGAAAGAAGATGCTCAACCCAGCTCCCTGCCACCTCAGCAGAGACAGAGGAAGTGTCTGTCCCAGGATCACACAGAATTGACATTAGCTTTCTGTGAGTCTACCAAGCACAGAGAAGAGTAAAGAAGATGAGATTTGACAAGGTTTGAGGAACGCTTGGGAAACTCCTGTTGAAGCCAAGAGGAGATCATTCGAGAGATGTGAAACTCTTGTTGTCCAAAGTGGCAGTGAGGTCATTCTGCAAATTTCCAGAGTAAAATGAATAAGCTATCCATTAGTATTTGAATGCAAGCTTCCCTTGCATTCGTTTTCTTTTCTTTTTAAGTGTTGTAAAAATAACAACCAATTTCTTATTCTGTTGCAGACATGAATTTGCTGATGTGGTATGAATTGAGGAGCTATGTTTATGGAACTGCAAAGTAGGAAGCTGTATCAGGAGAGAGAAAACCTATGGGCAAATCCCTTTGAGTCTCTGCACCGTATTTTAACCATGTGAAAAATAAAGAAGTTGAACTAGAATCTTGCTTGTAGATATTGATTCTTAGTCATATCATATCCAGCCTGCTACACCAGGAGGGTATCAGTAAACGCCAACCTCATAGCCAAATCTGACCAATGCCTCTTTTTGTGCAGCATGCAACCACCACCGAAGAAGTTGGCATGTGAGTCTCAGAAACCAAGCTAGGCATCCTCTTGGGCCTGTTCCTCCCTCTGCTCTTTTGCCCATGGCCTGTGGCTCACCACTGCCCATGCTGATTGCCATCTACACACTGAGAATTCCACTGTTGGTGACTGCAGGTCACCAAGCAATGGGAACTCAGCCTGCCCAAGTTGAGACAGCTAGGCTATCTGGGAGGAATAGAAAGGTGCTGGGAGCTAGTGTCACCAAAGAAGAATGTTAAACTGACCTCTCTCTCTCTCGCTCTCTCTCTCTCTCTCTCTCTTTCCTCTTCCACTTGTCCCTAGCCCTTCTCTTTCAACTGGTTTCTCTCCAACTGAGCACAAAGTTTGCCCACCACCAGGAAATTAACAATCCATAGGGATGGGACACAAGTTTTCTTTCTGATTACATAAGTACATAATGTCCTTGTTTTTCCTTGGCTTGCAAAACTTAAAATATTTGCTATCTGGTCCTCTACAGAAAAAAAATCCAACTCATTGGCTATGGCATAATTTGTTAGAGAGTAAGATATGGAATAATTAAATGGCCTGGATTCAAATGCTCACTCTGACACCTATTAGTATGACCTTGGGCAAATTATATTTCTGTGCCTGTTTCCTTGCCTGTAAAATTGAGTTAATAATTATAGTGCCTGTCTCATGGGTTGGTTGTATATATACCTACCAGATAATGTTTGAAAATTCAGTGACATGTGCATAAAATAAATATGCTCAGATATAAGTTATCAAACAAAACTTACTGTACTCTGGACCAGGCCCCTACACAGTCCATGCTGTAGCAGGAAAACAGATTTGTTTTTTAAATGAGGATAATGCAGTATGCGAGATGCTTTAATAGGACACAGTTGTGGAACTAGGAAAGCATGGTCAATTCCCTTGCTGTAGGTTTAACAAAGTTTCATAGAGGACAAAAATAAGCAGATAAAAAGGTTATTCCTGTCTAAGGAACTGCGTGTGCATGGTTCTGAAAGATAAAAGGATACTGTATATTCTCGTTAGTGGGGCAGCAACACTTAGATAGGCCTCGAATGCAGTGTGAGGAAGCTAAAAACCCAGGCAGGTCCCAGACTCTGGAGGAATTCATCTACTATCCCAAGGCATGGGCTGTTTGTCCTCTAAGTGATGCAAGTCATTGAAGGAAGCCAAACAATAGCAAAAAAGGATCAAGATCAAAATGTGGTTTTTAGAAAGACCACTCTGGCGCATTGTAGAGAGCAAATCAGACAATAGTTGATTAGCTAAAGTAAGTCCAAAAGGAAAACAATACAACTCTGAAGTAAGGCAATGGCTGTGAGAATGAAGAGAGGCATGGGTTAAAGCAATTCAGAAGGTAGAATCAGGCTTTTGGCTGGGGCAGGTAGGTTCAAGTAAGGGTGTAACTACAATAGGAAAGGTAGGTATATGAGGAAAGAGAACAAGGTGGTAAAATAATAATAATAACAAAAACTCAAAGTTTAGTCTATGGATAAGATTTCCTAGAAATCTAGAAAGTGCTTGCCTGCAGCACTTTCCCATGTTAATATTTGGGAAATAGGCTTTAGACAGCACCACCATCACATTTCCTAGGCAGGGCTTCAGGAGGGGCAGGATGAATGGATGGCTGTTTTTGTCTTTCCCTTCTGTTTCCATATTATGATTTTATGCTGGAACTACAGAATCAATGCACCACAACCTGTGATTAATGCAGCTTTCAAGCAGGGAAGGCAGCCTGGCAGATGTCCAGTGTTGGTCAGAGCAGTATTCCAGGACTCTGAAGATGCACAGGACCCAAGCCTTTGTCGTGGGAGCTCATTTGATCAAAGCTTAACTCCTCCCAATTTTTTTTTTATCAGTTGTTGCTGTGAATTTACTCTGAAGGTCTTTGGGGAGAAATGAAAACTACTGTAGATTTTTCATAGTTGGGATAATTGGAACCATTTCTTACATGTGTCTGGTGCTTCATAGTTTACAAAGTGCTTTCACAGCTATGGGGATTTTTGTTTTCACCAAGACAGGGATTATTCTTTATGTTATGAAAAAAAAATCAGAGTTGTAAATGGCTTTTTTAAGAGTGCAGAACTAGAAAGTACCAAAACATTAACCCGGATTTAATAATACTCCATGTTGGCAAAACAATAGGGAAATGGATGTCTTATACACTTTAGATGAGAGTGTAAATTGACCCAACTTTTAACAAGTAGTGTCAATATTTGTTAAATGTGATTACCCTTTGATCTGGCAGTTCAACTCTTTGGTCTCTGTGTTAGCCTGAGCTCACCTTAGAAAGCAGAGCTGGAAATAACCTGAAGGCAGGGAGCCCACAGTAAGAAGTGATCCCAGTGACCTACAGTCAGCTCATGGCCAGGAAGAGTGAAACAACAATACAAAGCTACATTATCAAGCTGGTAGCCATTGTGTGCCATGATGGTTTGATCCTGCTGGAACCCTCTCAGAAACACAGAAAATGTCTGAAAGAAGGAAGACAGATATTTATTTGTAGATTCTCACCCTACATTAGTCAAAGGTTACCCACAGAATATAAACACATACTTCCACATTTGTCAAGTGAATTCCTAGAAATATCCCAAACATGTACCTGAGTATTAATTATATAGTTAACAATAAAAAGGTTGGGGATGAGCTTGGTCTTGGGGACTAGGGTTGGCACTGAAACACAGATCTCCAATGTCAAGTCTAACTTTCAGTCTGGTAGAACTGGAATTATTAAGAATAGAATCCAAGTCTCTTGGAGGTGGGGAGAAAAGCCTGGCAAAAGATAAAGTGTTTTAGTTTTCTACTACGGAAGGCTTTTCGCATTCCATAGCACGTTGGCCACAGATCATCTGCCATCCTCCTAGGCAATGAGCAAAGGCAGCAGAGACAAGGCTTTCCGGGCCCTGTCTCAAGGCCAAATATAGCAAATTAAACGAAAGATTTTTTCTTTTTTTTAAAGCAGTACTTCTACAAGCTAGCGGGCATAGGATTCTGGAAACTTGCTATAAATTTAAATTACTGGGCTCCATCCTAGAAATTCCCATTTGGGTCTTGAAAATCTTCTACATTTATAATCTCCCACTTTAAATCCCTATGGTAATTCTTATGCAAGTGAACCAGAACCACAGTTGAGAAACACTGCCCTGGGGCATATACCCTGAGCCTTGTGAGAGGAGAACCCTGTCTCATTTATCCCTGGTTCTCTCCCCCAATACCTGTCACATCCCAGGGACTACCTAATTGTCCAATGAATTGTTCAAAACCAGTCCTCTAAAAAGTCTGTTTCACGTGGGATCAGCTCAAGTCTGAGCTTCTCTATAACCGCAGGCTCTGGGACTTCATTCTACTATGGGAGATTAGGAAAAGAGATTTGAACAGAGGATGACTGGTAAACCATCAGGCCAAAGAATTCATTCCCAAGTCAGTTGGATAATATATTTTCTTCTAAGAGAAAAATCTATCTATGAAACTAAGTACCATTCTGTTGCTGGGTAAACAAGAAGTCAGAGTAAATGGAATTTAGTGACTTTCAGGCTTAAATTACTAAAGTGTGACATAATTCGTGAGATGATATATAAGAAATCACTGTATAAATTGAAAATCATTATATAAATGTAAGGCATCACTAACATCATCATATTAGAAAACATGCTAGAGGCATTATACATCGGGTAATGCATGCAAGCCCTGGAGTCATACAGAACAGGGCTCTACCTCTATTTATGAAACCTTAGATAAAAATCACTGCACTTTCTGAGCCTTGGCTTCCTGTCCTGAAAAACCAGAAATAATGCTAGCACCTGCCCTTTGGAGCTTTTGTGAAAACTAAATGAGACAATGTTTGTCTCATTTGTAGCTTTCCAGTTCTATTGGAAACTGTACCTTTGAGATTTTCCAACTGCCTGGAAGGTGAAGGTAAAAGGGAGGCCACTGTAAATAAACAGAAGAGCAGTCTTCCTTTCTGGAAGAAAAGAAGAGCACTAAGCCTGTTTGGATTTGGCCTGCGAGTCTGAATTTAATAACAGAAAGGACTCAGCTGGGTTCTAGCAAGCAACATTCATTAAAATGCAAGGCGACCCACGGAAAATCAGAGATAACCTGGGATCCCAGATGCGCATGCGCACTTGGACATTTTTCCCCCCCACACACCCCCGCCCCGACTCCCAACCCTCTGCACAAAGCTCCGCTTGGTCGGAAACTTACGTCAAAGTTACGTAGAAAGGCGTAGGGAAGGCGGTAAGAAACCGCCAGCTCTGGGTCACGTGATGCGGCGGGAGGGTCCTTGGCTCCTCCCTCTTCAAGATGGCGTCTTTGCTGCAGTCTGAACGGGTTCTCTATCTTGTCCAGGGAGAAAAGAAGGTTCGGGCCCCGCTGTCGCAGCTTTACTTCTGCCGCTATTGTAGCGAGCTGAGGTCTTTGGAATGTGTGTCTCACGAGGTAACGGAACCGTCTCATGGGGAGGATGTGTGTTGGGGGTGGGGAGGTTCACTCTAGTCACTGAGAGCCGTGGGGAAGTTCCGCCGGTTGAAGGCGGGGAGTCGTTCTCCTAGCTTGCTGATTGGCTGTGTCTCCAGTCACTTAGTCTGCCTGCGATTTAATTTGCTTATAACCTGTCAACTTGGAAAAGAGAAGCGACCCTGGGTGGGGCTGATCTGATCTTCTTGTTCTAGACTTGCTTCTAGTTGGACAAATTTGACTTTAGACCCTTGGTCTCCTCTGGGGCTTGCTAATTGGGTGGGCTTCAGGTGACTAATGCATGCCGCTCGAGGGGCGAGATAACCGTCTTTCCAGGACTGATGCAGGAGAGGCAGGCATTCTCACTCACGGCCCTCCCATCTTGGAAGTTCTGCCCCTACTTGCCAGAAACTGGGCCCTCACCATAAGGCTTGGCTTGTTTCCTGGCTCATGCCAAGGCCTGCAGCAGGGAAGAGGTTGGGGCGGGTGAGTTAAAACCGTTTACGATAGACTTTGTCGTTGACGAAGTTCAGAGAGTTATATTTATGGTGCTTCTCCTGGACTACTTGTGCTTTCTTTCCTTCACAAGCGTGGAAGTGGATTGCTCAGAAGTAGACAAGCCAAAAAACAAAACCCCCAAACTTCTGCAGCACTCGACGCTATTTGTTCATTCAGTAAGCTTTAGGGATTTTAATCTTTTAAGATGAGTAAGACATAAACCCTACTGTGAGTTAACTCACAGTCTAGTGAAGAAAAAGCTTACAGTAGTAATAGGTTTACTCAGTACTTGCTAAATGACGTGGACTTTACATACTGCTCTTTCCAAACAATAAAGGTGAATGCTTTAAAAAAGAAAAAAAAATTTACAGGTGAGGAAACAGATACGGAGTGTTTGCCAGAGGTCACACAGAAAGTAATTTGGGGGTGGGAAGGGGAATCGGGATCTGAATCTAAACCTCAGAATTTTACTAAAGGTCTCTGGATTGTTAAAATGCATGTGAAAACACATTTTACACATTATTCTATAAACCATTTTACACATTGGTAATTATTGGAGAAAGTTTTCAAGTACCAAGAATAGTCAAGGAAAGCAGTTCAAGAATACAAGAAAAGTGTGTGCCATATATTTATGCTTATATATTTATGTATATCATGTTTATATATAATTTTTCTTGTATTCTCCATTAGTACTTTGTGTGTATCTCCTTGGCAGATCCTTTCTCTTTTATTAAACCAGAACACCCCTGCCCTTTATTGCTTTAGTTTATTTTTCAGATCTTGATCCTCCTGATCTCTGCCTCCTAAGTAGCTGGAATTACAGGCAAGCTGCCTTTCTGTTTTAGATGTTTCCCTATTCCTGTTTGACCCCCAGAACTTATTGGACCAGATTTCCTGTGGTGTGCACTAGGGAGCTCAGTTTCCATGGTCTCTAAGAACCTCTTGGGCTAGCACATTGAGTCTGTGGCCGCATCTTTCACATATGGTGTATACCTGTGATGGATTGGCCATTAGAGCCTGAGAAGGATGAAGCTACTGAGGACTGGAGCAGTCCAGAGAATTCTAATGGAGAACCTGAATCTGAAGCTATAGATGAAGGGACAAGCAAAATTTGGAAAGATGACAAGAACAAATGAATTATATTATTTGCCTTTTATGACATGTCAGTGCAAATATTAGTAATACTGTTCTATTTTGAGTAACACCTTTATTCATCTTTTCAAATTGGTCCTGTTTATAGCAGATGGTGAACAAAGAAGCCAGTTTCTAGCATGGTATTTATGTTCTAGTGAATGTCTTTCCATTTGCAGGTGACTAGAGTTCCACAGTTGTCAAATAGGATCTATGTAGATTAAAGAAAATAGTCAGACCTTAAAAAAATACAGTGAATTTAGTTTTTAAACTGTTTTGAGTTAGCTAAAAGAGATTATCCTATTAGTTTAATTTGGTATTTAAAAATCTCCAGTTGGTTGGCTGTAGCTGACTATGTCAGTATTAATTCAGGCTTAGCAAATCTGTTACTTTACTAACAAGAAAACTTAAAAAAAAAAACTTTAAATGACTGGGGGTGTGGTAGAATGCTTTCCTTAAAAAATAATAAATAAATAAAACTCCCTTAAAAATTAAAAGTGTGGTCAAGTTATAGTTAAATAATGCTAAACTAAATAAGAAGATATTTGATCACAGTTTTACATATGTGCTATTTCATTAATTTATCATTTAGGTTTTATCATTAGGTTATAGAGTTCTTGGAAACTTTAAATTATCATATAGACAACTTTTGACATATCTGACACATGAAATCCTAACAAATGGGAACAGGAACTATCAGGTAGGACAAATAGAAGAATTTTAGAAAACCTGGAGGAATAAAAGCAAAAAAACCCACAAGTGACTGAAGAATAAATCCTAAGCTGAAAACCTCCAAGTGTTTTTCTGGATCAATGATTTCTCACCTTCTGCTGAAGCGTAATATATTTTAAATTCTCTGTTTGCTATTTATACAAGTTAAACTGAGTCTCTTCTCTATCTGTGATTTTTTATTTATTTCCTCCTAGGTGGACTCTCATTACTGTCCCAGTTGCCTAGAAAATATGCCATCAGCTGAAGCCAAACTTAAAAAGAATAGGTAAGAACAGGACCAGTTTCTCTCTTTTTTTAAAAATAGCTGGTAAGAAAACACACAAATGGTGCTCATTTCAACAGCACATATACTAAAATAGGAATGATACAGAGAAGATCAGCATAGCCCTGCACAAGGATGGTACGTAAATTTCTGAAACATTCCATATTGAACAACAAAAAAAAGAAAACACATAACGTACTGGAGACGTGACTCTGTTGGTACAGTGCTTGCCTAGCAAGCACAAGGCCCTGAGTTCAATCCCCAGTACCAAAACTAAAAAGAAAAGAAACTACTTTATACTAGTCAGGACTCAGGCTCTCATAGCTGGGACAGTTTCTTTGACTTTCTTTGGGTTTTTGGACCTTGAACGTTTTAAGGCATATACTCTAGAATGTTCCTCAATTAGTATTTGCATGATGTTTTTCTCATCTGACTTTTTTGGGGAGCAGGACCACAGAGGTAAAATGTCATCTCTCATCACATCGTAGTCAGGTGTAAATGCTGTCAGTATGATTTATCAATGTGAATTTTTCTTTGATTATAATGACTGGCTCTAATGTCATAAGATTTCTCCACTGTGAAGTTATTCCTTTTGTTCCCCATCCTCTTCCCCCCACTCAGGTTTTTGAGACAGGATCTTGCTATATAGCCTCAAACTCCTGCCTCAGTCGCCCACATGCTATGATTACAGCCATATACTGCCATACCTGGTTTTTCCCCTTCTTTTCTAAACTGTACACTTCAGAAAGAAAATCATCATAGTCTACATAGAAAGAGTGGGGAGTTAGGCTCCCCTGTCTTCGAAAATTATCTACATAAATTGTTAAGAATTTTTTTTGCATGGAACATCCTCTCTTCTCCATTTATTTCTTAATTATTTACTTATAAGACTGTGGACTCGTAAATATTTATTTTGTATTTTGGGTTATAATCAATGCTGCCTTATTTATTTATTCATTTATTTATGCTCAGTGTTCCAGCTTTGGTCAGTGGGCGCTCTTTCAGCTTACTCCTGAAACCTTTTAACATACCCTTATCATTGGGGGTAAGGGAGTAGCCTTGTTCTGTTCATTAGTTTGAGCACTTTCTTACCAGTACTGTAAGGTACTCTAAACTGTTTGTATATTTCTGCCTCAGTCTTAGAATTAGCAATTTCTCAAAGAAGCCTTGGTTCCTTTTTTTACTGGAGAAGATCTAGTCATTAGATGTGATTTCTGCTGGATGCCATTTAGTTTTTAGGTTGTGTGAATGTACAACCAGTCACACCCCTACATCTTCATGGATGTGAACCACTATTTGTCTAGTGGCTCCTGATAAGCCAATGCTGTTTTGTATGATTTCCACATACTAATTTTATTATTTAATCCTTGAAGAATTTCTGTGTAGTGGGTAATACTGTTACCCTGATTTGATGATAAAATATCACAGATAATGGAAGTGGTACAAGACTTGAGGTAAAATCTTGGTAATTTCAGGTAGCAGGAGAGTTAAAAGACCAGGGCCCAGGACCCTAAAAGGGAAATGTTAGCTCAGCGCTAAAAAGAGTAGCATCTAAGGAGAGAAAAGAAAGCCCTGAAAGTGTACCACTTCTAAACCATTACAGTTTGATAGCATTGTTTGGTATCTTTTTCACCTCTCTGTCACAGCAGTTGAAGGGTTATTTTCCAAATCCAGTTTTGATTCTCAGTTTTCCATGATACAGTTGGTCTGTCCTCTCTAAAGACATAAACTATTACAATTGTCTTTTCGTTAGAAATCTCTGTGACCTGCATAAGTATAAAGAGTCTGGAATCGTAAACTCCACCTGTTAAAAGTGATTCCCTCAGTGAGGTAGGATTGGGTTGGGCTCTAATTCTTCACAACTTTTGGTAATAATGGTATATTTTTTAGAAAATAATGAACATACAATACTTTTTAAATGTTAAAATTAACATGAGGCCCCCAGGAATATTTTTTTATTTCTATTTTCTTAAAAGTCACTCCTTTTATTTGTTCTCTTGAATTTCTAACTTCTAGAACAATGTCTTGGTACATAGTAGTTGTTTGGTAAGTATTTGTTGAATGAATGGATGGTTGTGTTTGTCATGTCACAGATGTGCCAACTGCTTTGACTGTCCTGGCTGCATGCACACACTCTCCACCCGGGCAACAAGCATCTCCACACAGCTTCCAGATGACCCAGCCAAAACCACCATGAAGAAAGCCTATTACTTGGCCTGTGGGTTTTGTCGTTGGACGTCTAGAGATGTGGGCATGGCAGATAAATCTGTAGGTGAGTGATGTACACTTAAACGTGAGATTTTATGCAGCTGTCAGTGCTCTAATTGCCACACAGTATTATTTCTGTAACCTGTCAGAGCAATAGAACTTAGATTCAGAATGTGTTGGCATTAAATCATCTGTATACTCACATGCTCACTGTTGTGGACCATGGTGTTTCCTCTGAGACAGAGTTAATACCATTTAGTTTTCTTAGCATTGGTAAAGTAGCTTTTATAAGTCTGACTCACTTTACCACTAAGCTGCACCCCCAGCCCAAGAAATTCTTGACGTCAGAATACACCAGAGACAAAATTAAAAGTGATAAACTAAGAAAAACAGTTGGCAGGAACTAGAGAAAAGGTTAGATGAAGAAGAATTAACCTAGAAGGTAACACCCACGCACAGGAAATCAATGTGAATCAATGCCCTGTATAGCTATCCTTATCTCAACCAGCAAAACCCCTTGTTCCTTCCTATTGTTGCTTATACTCTCTCTACAACAAAATTAGAGATAAGGGTAAAATAGTTTCTGCTGGGTATTGAGGGGGGGAGCGGGAGGGGGTGGAGTGGGTGGTAAGGGAGGGGGTGGGGGCAGGGGGGAGAAATGAACCAAGCCTTGTATGCACATATGAATAATAAAAGAAAAATGAAAAAAAAAAAAAAGAAAAACAGTTGGATCATATCTAAAAGACTTAAGATAGACTAAGCAAAAATGAGAAATCCTTATAAATCAATAAGAAAAAGACTCAAGAAAAATTGTCAAAGGCTATGAACAACAGTTCTCATAGTTAGAAATACAATGGTCAAAAAATATGCAAAATGTTATATTCAACTTCACTAGTCATTATGAAAGTACAAATTAAAGTTTTATCTATTTGGCAAACGTTTTTAAATCTGGATATATCACCTGTTGTTACAACATAGGATAATAATTCTCCTCATACATTGCCATCTTGGAGAGCAGTTTGACAACATATATTAAATTTTAAAATTGCTCTTATCCTTCTGCTCAGCAATTCTGTACCCAAGTGTCTATCCTAGAGCATCCAAATGTTAAAAAAAAAATTACTTTTATATGTTTATCAACAAAACATACAAAGTTTTGTGTGTTTGGACTTAATGACCACTTCTCCATCATGAGGGTTTCAAAGCAGAGACTGTGCTTAGCTTTGTCAGAAAACTTCCATTGTTTTTATATTGTCTGTACTCCCTGGTTAATATCAGAGAGTGAAAACACTATACAGTCAGTTCAAAATCCTGAGCTTTTATTTATGCTTTATATAAATACTAACATCACTATTTTCCATTGTCTTTGTTCTTTCTGAAATTTCACTGTTTAATTTTTCTGAAAACTTTTAGACTTGCAAAAAATTCCCATGTTTCAATTTTCACAAAAATTATAGCTTAATAAATGGAGAAGCCCATAAAGTGTTATTCATTGTATGTCAATTGACATAACTAAAATGAAGACAGAAATTGCCTACAACTTCCTTTAGATTCTTATTTACACAATTTGGAAGTGAATATGGGTGAAATTTCCTCCTTGTTTAATTTTGTGAAGTAGTCTCACTATGTACTCCAGGATGTCCTCAAACTAATGATCTTCCTGCCTCAGCCTTCTGTGTGTTGGGATTACAGGTGTGAGCCACCAAACCCAACCATGTATGATAGTTCTTTCAATTCAACTCTGTTAAATTTTTAATTCTTGGTTCTGTTGAGTGTCCTTTTGGTTTACAATACTTGAGCTCTTGATTATTTTTCTGGTTTTGTACATTGAGTTGGTAAGATACATACTTTTTTTCAACAACAAAAAGTGAAGTAGGTCACCATTCCTTAAGAATGTTGGTGGGTTGATATTTACTTAAATGTGATTTGTGGTGGTGGTTTTTTTTTCTCTTGGAATGTTGGGGATTAAACCCAGGATCTCATATGTACATGACAAACACTCTACTACTGAGTTATACCCCTAGCCCTTGTGATTGATACTGGAAAGATTCCATAACATCCTTTTAGATTTCCAGTAAATATTTGTTTGTGTGTGTTGATGTCAGTATTGCAGGTAAGTTGTTAGAGTCTGCAAGGAAATTAAGTTTAATGTTAAAAATAGTCTACAAGTGGTATAATAATGTGCCTCCCAAGCAGGTTTCTTTCTGTGTTTTTGCTTTGTTTCTTTTTATTAAGTAAAAGAAATAAATCCCAGGAAGTCTTAGTCTATTACTCTGTAAGTGAATACATTATGCCTTCTGGATTATGAGCCATTAAGATTAAAGAATTTATATTTCAGAATTTAAAAACCTACAATGGATTATAGAAACCTATCTCCTCTACAGTAGCTCAAGAGTAATATTAAATACCAGAAGCTCTTAAACAATACAGATAATTTCTATTTCCTCCATGATATCATTGGTGTCTAAGAAGCCCTAAAACCACTTTCGTTAGATCTGTTTGCTTATTTATAAGTACTTACCCATAACAGTCAGATAAAACCTTGTAAGACCATTATGTCATTCTCACAAATTGCTTTTTAGAATAAATTACAGTTCTAAAGAAGCAATTAGATAAAACAGTCAGACTTTGACTTAAGGCCCCATGGCCTTACTTAATAGGAATGTACATCTATATTCATCAATTAATGAATAGTGTAATAAAAGGTATTATTTCAGCCATTTCTTGAAAGAGAAAAATGTTACCTTAAACAATGTAATTAAAGAGTCCATTTTTCTGAGTACAATGAAACTAATCCTGGGGAAACACCTTCTTAGGCTATATTTTAGCAGCCCCCCTCTCCCCCCCCACCTCCCCCACACTGTTTCTTTTCTCAAGGGAAAGTCTTTACATCCTAGAAGCTCAAAGCTAAGAATTTGCCTTCAGTTTCTGAGACTTCGGACTTGGAATTTTGAGCAATGTGGTAAGTGTTGAGACTCTGAGGGCTCTTGGAGATGGGCTAAATGCAGTCTGTACTGTTGAGATGGATATGAAGCTTTAGAAGTCAGGGAAAGAAAGTTATGGCTTGAATGTGAAATGTCCTCTAAAGGCTCATGTGTTAAAGGCTTGGTTGCCAGATGATGGAGCTTTTTGAAAATGCCGGGATCATGAGCACTCAGACTCCAGTGAACGGAGTCCTAATTTGATGGCATTTTTGAGAGGTGGAGGCTTAGGGGGTGAAACCTGGTTGGAGGAAGTAGGTTACTGGAGGCTTGCCTTTGAAGGTATCTTGACTCTGGCCCCTTCCTGTTTGTCTGTCTCTGCTTCCCAGCTGCTATGAGGTGAACAACTTTGCTCTGCCACATTCTTTCCAACACAATGTTCTCTTTCACCATGGGTCAGAAACAATAGGGCCAGGTGACCATGAACTGAAATCTGAAACTATAAGCCAAAATATATCTTTCCTCCTTTAAACTGTTTCTCTAAGAGTTTTTTCACAGCAATGAAAAACTAACATATATAATTAAAAATAGCTGGGAGCTGGGTGCTGGTGGCTCATGCCTGTGATCCTAGCTACTTGGGAGGCTGAGATTGAGAGGATCACGGTTCAAGGCCAGCGTGGGCAAATAGTTTGCCAGAGCCCATCTCCAAAATAACCACAGTAAAAATGCACTGGAGGTGTGGCTGAAGTGGTAGAGTGCCTGCTTTGCAAGCATGAAGCCTTGAGTTCAAACCCCAGTCCCACCAAAATAAATAAATAAAAAAAAGCTCGGTATGGTGGCAAACACTTAAAATCCTAGTACTTGGAGGGCTGAGACAAGAAAATTAGGAGTTTGAGGGCAGCCTGGGTTACATAGTAAGATCCCATCTCAACAAAACGAAACAAAAAAAAACCAAAATCCTTCTCCCAAAGAACCAAAACAAACAAAAAAACACCTTTTTCCCAAAAGAAAAATGAACTCTTTAATTACATTGTTTAAGGTAACATTTTTCTCTTTCAAGAAATGGCTGAAATAATACCTTTTATTACACTATTCATTAATTGATGAATATAGATGTACATTCCTATTAAGTAAGGCCATGGGGCCTTAAATCAAAGTCTGACTGTTTTATCTAATTGCTTCTTTAGAACTGTAATTTATTCTAAAAAGCAATTTGCGAGAATGACATAATGGTCTTACAAGGTTTTATCTGACTGTTATGGCTAAGTACTTATAAATAAGCAAACAGATCTAACGAAAGTGGTTTTAGGGCTTCTTAGACACCAATGATATCATGGAGGAAATAGAAATTATCTGTATTGTTTAAGAGCTTCTGGTATTTAATTATTACTCTTGAGCTACCGTAGAGGAGATAGGTTTCTATAATCCATTGTAGGTTTTTAAATTCTGAAATATAAATTCTTTAATCTTAATGGCTCATAATCCAGAAGGCATAATGTATTCACTTACAGAGTAATAGACTAAGACTTCTATTTGGATTCCTGGGATTTATTCCTCCAAAAGGGAGGAATTGCAGAATACCAAGAGATTGTCCTAGAAGGTGTGTGGGTCTAGATGAGTCTTAAATCAGTCTGGATTAGGTCTCTCAATTCCTAGGATGTCCCCGAAGGCATATTTCCTCTGCCAGATAAATTCATCTATCACCTTTAAACTCAGCCTCCCACAAAGTTTTAGGACATGGACAAAATGTACATAAGTTGTTTGCCACAATGTGACACCAATAGCCTCTGATTCAATTACCCATAGAATTCTTGTTCCCATCTGAAATCTCACGAGCACAGTCTTTACTCTGTGCATTCCTCTCCATAGTCTGTTCTTGTAAACTCCCTCCCACCAGGGATTAAGCTCTGCCTATAACACTCCAGGGATTCTCTGGCCTGCATCTCCAAACTTTTCCAGACTTCCCAAAAACCAACTCCAAAGGCTTCTCAACCACATGATAAGGTAGTGGGGTGCACTCACTTCTCAGTACCATTTTTTTTAACGTTAGTTTTTGGTAACAAGTACCTGAGGGAAGCAGTTTAAAGGGGAAAGATGTATTTTGGCTCACAGTTTCAGAGGTTTCAGTCCATGATTCCCTTGGATCCATGGGCTGATGGTGAGGGAGAACAGGGTGGTGGGAAGCATTTTGTAACCCAGAGTTGCTCACTTCATGGAGATGGGAAGCAGAGACAGACAGGAAGTGGCCAGAGACAAAATACCCTAGTGATCTACTTAATCCAATTAGACCTCACTTCCTAAGTCTCTACCTCACTTCCTAAGTCTCATCAAGTTATGATTCAATGGATTGATCCATTGATGAAGTCAGAGCCCTCATTATCCAATCACTTTCAAAAAGCCTCATCAGCTGACAACCAAACACTTAACACATGAGCTTCTGGGAGACATTTCAGATTCAAACTGTACTGTTATCTAAATTATATATTTGTGTACTTGACACCCAGCTTAAGAAATGAAACATTGTTTCTTATACGTAGTTGAGTTATGCATGCCTTACAACAGGGTAGTTATTTAGTCCCCTCTTGATGGATACAGTTTTTTGTTTCTAATAATGGTACTGCTAGAAATATTCTTTTGTGTGTTTCCTAAGGCACAAAAATAAGCAGTCCTCTTTATAACTAGAAGTAAAATCACCTATCATAAGTTGGTTTATCAACTTTTGATCCTGCTAGACTACCCATTTCTCTAAATCCTTAGTAGTTCCTACTATTTTGGGCTCTTTACAGTGGTGTGAAATGATATTTCATTATTGGCTTTTTCCCTTTCTTTGGTTTTATTGAGATACAATGTACACATAATGAAGCTCACCTATTTTAAGAGTAGAATTCTATGATGTTTGACAAATGTGTAATCATGTAACCACCCCTATAGCTATAACATGCATCATTTCCCCAGATGACCCTGACTACACAGTAGGCTTTCTATCACTGTAATTTTCTCTCTCTCTCTCTCTCTTTTTTTTTTTTTGCTACTGGGGGTCAAGCACAGGGCCTCACACTTCAAGGAAGGGACTCACTCTTCCACTTGTGCCACTCCACAAGCCCTTTTTGTGTTGGTTATTTTTTAGATAAATTTCTCCTACTTGTGCTTCCCAACATAGCTTGGGGTGACAGGTGTGTGCCACCAAACCCAGCCATTGGTTGAGATGACAAACTTTTTGTCTGGGCTGGGGTCAGACTGCCTGCTTCCCAGTTTCCTCCTTCCCAGTAACTAAGATTACAGACTTGAGCCACTGTGCCTGTCTAATTTTGTCATTTCTAGAATGTGTATAATTGGAATTGTACATTGTTCTTTGTGTTTTAGCTCCTTTAACTTTAGCATAATGCTTTTGAGGTTTGTCCATGTTTGTTTGATTTTGCAATACTGGAATTTGAACCTGGGATCTCGCACTTGCTAGGCAAGTGCTCTATGACACTTTGACATTGTACCACTTGAACTATATCCCCAGACCTTTTATTTTTTGTGTTGTTTTTGAGATAGTGTCTTGTTAACTTTGCCAGGGATGGCCTCAAACTCTTGTGATCTTCCTGCCTCCCAATGAAGCTAGGATTACAGGTGTGCACCACCACACCCTGCTCATGTTCCTGTTTAGTAGTGTTTCTTTTCATTGTTTCTAGTGTGTGACTATGCCACAGTTTGTTCATTCATTCTCTAGTTGATGGCTATGTGGCTTGTTTTTGATTTTTGGCCTAAATGAATAGAACTGTTATAAATACTTGCCTATGAGTCCTTGTGTAGATTCATGGTTTCATTTTTTATTGAGTAAATATGTAGGAGTGGAATTGCTGAGTCATAAGGTAAATGCATATTTAACTTAAATAGAAGCTCCCAAATTATTTTCCAAAGTGACTGTATAATTTTGGATCATAGCCAGAAAAGTAGAAGCATTCTAGTCCCTGATACTGTCATTCTTTTTTTTTTTTTAATCATTTTAGTGCACGTGTAGTTCTTCATGATGGCTTTAGTTTTCTTAATATGTTGGTTTCCTGCCCATATTGCATCTTGGGTGAAGTGTCTGCAAATCTTTTGCCCATTTTTTAACTTTTGTTTTTCTTTTGGTTCCTTTTTATTGAATTGTAAGGGTTCTGTATTCTAATTATCAGTATCTGCCATGTATATGTTTTACAAATATTTTTCTCCTAGTCTGTGGCTTGCTTTTTCATTTTCTCAACACAAGATAAGCACAAAGCCATTCCCACCAAAAAGAAAAAGAAGAAAAAACAAATGTTATTTTGGGCATAATGGTCTTTAAAATTTTTAGGATTATTTTTTGAAAATTCTGTTATGTTTTAAAGTTTTATGACCTACAGATCCCTATTTTTATGAAAATAAAATTATTATTTAACCTTTATTTTCTAGCTAGTGGTGGTTGGCAAGAACCAGAAAACCCTTACACGCAACGGGTAAGTAAAAGATAATAGAATACAGACAGTGAAATACAAAATGATAGAGTAAAAGACTAATGGTCTTCCATTTTGTCAGTGGATATAACCTATGCCTAGACGTCCATGATATGTATTTTATTATCTGTTACACATAGAAAGTGCGTCACATTGTAAGATGTTAAATCACACTGTCACTTCTTTTCTGTTGACTTAAGTTAATAAAAAACCGAAGTGTAAGGCCAGGAGTACTGGCTCATGCCTGTGATCCCAACTGCTCAAGATTCAGAGATCAGGAGAATCACAAGTTCAAGGCCAGCCCTGGAAAAAAATTAGCATCTTTTGCCATCCATCTCAGTGAGCAAGCCAGACATCGTGGTACACATTTTTTTCATCAAACACCTACCAACAAATTAAGGTTTCATTTGTTCTCAAATAATCTTGAAAATACAAATATTTAGATATTTTAACCCCAGAAACACTTTAGTAACTTAGAAGAGATTCCTGGACTCAGTAGTGGTTGTTTATAGGATCACAACTTGAGCGTCCTTTAGTAGTTCATGATGACTCGATCTCTGCAGTATGTATTATAGCTGATGTTTTTATCCCTTGAACTAGAATAAACTAAGAAACAGTGGTAAGTGCTATAGAAATGAGCAATGTACTTTCCGTCAAAGTGCAAGTTAAATAGTAATTTAGAGTTATTCACCTATGACTTCAACAAAAATTAGAAATACTAAAAATATCTTGGGTAAGAGCCCGGGAAAGTGGATTTTTCTCATATGTGTTTGTTGGTACAGATTTTTTTTTCTTTTTGGTGATACTGGGGATTGAACCCAGGGCCTTCCACATGCTAGGCAGGTACTCTACAACTTGAGCTACATCCACAGTGCTGATTTTTTGTTTTGTAATTTTGTTTTTGAGACAGTCTTGCCACCTTTGCCCAGGGTAACCTTGACCTCAGGACCCTCCTCCCTTGGCCTCCCAAGTAGTTTGGATTATAGATGTGTTCCACCATGCCCAGCTTTTTCTTTGCTTTTTTTTTTTTTTGGCGGTACTGGGTATCAAACCCAAGACTTTGTACATGGTGGGCATGCACTCTACCATTGAACTACATCTCCTTTTCCCCTTTAGTTGACTCATTTTTTTTTTTTTTTGGAGTAGTAGTATTTGAACTCAGGGCCTCACACTTGCTAGGCAAGCGCTCTACCACTTGAGCCACACCTCCAGCCCTGTTACAGGTTTCTTAAACTCTTACCTGTATCTGCTTTCTGGACTCTCAAATATTTGCATGTATGCACAAATGTGCATGTGCACGCGTGCACACGTGTGTGTGTGTGTGTGTGTGTGTGTGTGTGTGTGTAAAATTCTCAAACATTTATTGAGCACTTAACTATGTGCCAAGGACTGTGCTGAACAATAGGGATACTCTTACAGAGCTTGACTCTGATCGGGGGAAGAAATCATCCTCCAGATAAAGTAAAAATTGTGTGATAAGTAATGTGAAAGAGAGAAATTGTGTCATACAAACATTCCTCGGAGGGGAGTTTCAACTAGTTAGGTCCACATCTGCATATTATGCTGAAAGCTGAGATGATGGGCACAGAGGGGAAAGAATTCAAGGCAAGGGAAGAACATATGCAAAGAGCTAGTAAATGGAGAAAGCAAAACATGCAGTAGGTAAAGAGTGAATGAGGCTACAGTTGAGTGTGGTAGTAGGCTAATGGAGAAAAAGATTGGGGATCTGACTGCAGGATTTGTAAAACGAGAAGACTTTAAATGTTTTTAAGCAAAAAGATAGATGACAGGATCAGTTTAATTAGTGTTCCAAAAAAGCTGCTGAATTGAGAGGACAAGAGTGTCACCACAAGACCCTTTAAGTCCTGTTGTAGAAAATGGTTAAATACCTTATAGGATATCTGTTCTGTGCAAAAAGGTGCAGCCTTTAGAAAGAACAAGGTTGATCTGTTTGTACTGAATGGGATGACTGGTAGAGTGACTCAAGTGGTAGAGCGCCTACTTTGCAAGCATGAAGCCCTGAGTTCAAACCTCAGTCCAACCAAAAAGAAAAAAAAAAAAAGGTGTAAAAAGAAAAATGTACTTAAGGCCTGGTGGAGTGGCTCAAGTGTAGAGCACCTGCCTAGCAGTGTGAGGCCCTGAGTTCAAACCCCAGTGCCACCAAAAAAAAAAAAAAAAAAAAGCTGAAGAAGATACTTCTGATGTGTTCCTGCTGGGTGGGAAGTCCAAACAATGAAAAAGATACTTGTAATTTTTTTCCCTTTTACATGAAAAATGAAAAGATAAGCATTGTTATATATAAAGTTGTGTGTCTATATTCAGGTGTTTAAAAATGTGTGTAAAATATACTTGTGTTTCTAAATGTGTAAGAAAGAGATCTAAACTGATAATAGCTGGTGGAGTGGCTCAAGTGGTAGAGCACTTGCCTTGCAAGCATGAGGCCCTGAGTTCAAACCCCAGCACCACACACACACACACCACACACAAAAATGCAATGATAAACTGATAATAGTGGATGCTCTGATGAGTGGAGGTCAACTTAGGCACAAAGGATAAAAAGAGGAGGGTTTTTTTATTCTTTATATATTGCTTGGATTTTTAAATTAACATGGTTCTTTTATGATTAAAAATAGTTTAAAAATTAAAAAGTGTGATCGAGTGAGGGAGAAAAACAGAATATGAAATGTCACATTCTTAGCAATAAGTAGTCCTGTGGTATTGTAGAAGAACTATGAGCAGTTCTAAGGAGAAATAAGTAATGAAGTAAAAGTGCATATAATTTCAAAGTCTTTTCATTGCTCATTTCTTCCTTGTTGTTGAACTTAATTTTTCAACTCTGAAAACAGACCATATGATGAAGAAAAAATCTGTTTAAAGAAAAAGGGCAAACTTGCCCACCTTAATAATTTCTCTTCTCTATTCATTTTGTTTCTAGTAGGTATAATTGATTAATTTTATGTATTCACTGTTAGCTTTTTCATGAACTAAATACTGAGTCTTTGATTTCTTACAGATGAACAAGTTGATTGAATATTACCAGCAGCTTGCTCAGAAAGAAAAGGTTGAACGAGATCGCAAGAAACTGGCACGGCGTAGAAATTATATGCCCCTGGCTTTTTCGGTGAGGGTTTGGTACAAAAAGGAGTTTGCAAGACTTCTGGGGCAGTGACCATTTGAGAAAGTGGCCACTGTTCTGGAGTCCTAAATGGTGGGTAGGAGAGAAGTCTCTCGAATTGTAGATGTATAACCCCAGCATTTATGCTTTGGCCGTGTCATTAGTTCTACTTAAATTCTTTGTGTTTTAGTAAGGAGAGCTGTGTTTCTTTCTCTGTCACTTCCCTTTCTGTTTTGATTATTTGCCCCAAAAAGCTACTATTTAATTTTCTAGGCACTGTCAAACTCTGCTTGCAGCTTTTAAATATTACAATCTGAAAAGAATGTGGGCAAGTGGTAGCTTTCATTCATATTAGCCACATAGCCTGCCTTTGACAACCTGGTAGTAGTTGTTTCCCAGCTCTAGTCATCATAATTTTTTTTAACACCTTTTCATATTTCTCCAGGATGAAAACACTGACTTTTACACAGTGTGTGTGTGTGTGTGTGTGTGTGTGTGTGTGTGTGTGAGTAAATAATTTGTGATACATGCCAGAGGAATTTTTGATAGTAATTATTTGTGGATGTCATTCTCTACCAGTTTTTATAATACTGAACAGAAGTAAGAGATTAGGATTTTGAATTTTTGTTACTGTCACCTAAGGTTTTTTTTGTTTTTGCTCTCACAGAACAATTTGTTTTCTTTGTGCTTGCTTGTGTCCCAACAAGTTAACATTTAATAAATACGTTGAGCACTGTGCTAAGTAGTTTATATGTATTATCTTATTTAATCCTTACAATATTATTATTATTATTATTATTATCTTATAGTATTATAGTATTATTATTATATATATAGTAGTAGTAGTAGTAGTAGTAGTAGTATCTTATTTAATCCTTACAATAACTCTGTGTGGCAGAGTTATTTATTTACCTTCCAGGAAGGTTAAATAACTTGTCATATTGCATCCACATTAGAATGAGTTAAGCATTAAACCCTGAAGATTGGTAGGGTCCATATGAAAATATGTAGATTTGAATTTAATAAAACATTAACACTTGCATAACACGTACGTTTACCTAAGAAATGAGTTTTTCCAAATTGTCGAGCAGTATAATCAGCACATACATTACTGTGTATTATATTTAGGAGAAGTATTTGAATTAAACACTTCATCCTTGCACCTTTCCCATATCCTGCCTGCTGTATGAGTTTGCTTCTATCTTATGCTGCATTTTTTTGTCTCTGTTGCAACCTGCTGCTATTTGGGGGCTCTACAGCAACATACTATTCATGTAGTGGTAAGTTCTCTTTTCTGATTCTTGCTGACCCTGAAGAAGTTAGGAGGCAGTCACAGTGTTCCAGAATGAGATTCATCATGTGTCTTAGGCCCTCCGCACAGCTCCTGCCTGAGCCAAAGCGTGGACATTTTTAGATCAGTAGTAAAAACTCACTTTTACTGTATCACTGTAGTTTCAGTCTTCATGCTGGGTGCTTTTATTAAGAATAAAACAATGAAAAGTAGCTTTTAAGTAGCTTTTTGGTTTTATTTTGGTTTGTTTTTGTTTTGTTATTGTTATTGTTTTTGCTTATTTCCCTAAGCGTCTCATGCTGTTCCACCCCAAATTCTTTCTTCCAATAAATGGATGTATAAAATGGACTTTCTAACAGAAATTTCTGAACTTTGTTTAGGACAAATATGGTCTTGGAACCAGGCTTCAGCGACCACGAGCTGGTGCATCCATTAGTACCCTTGCTGGACTTTCGTAAGTTTGGACATGAAATGACTTTGAGAAGAGCAGATATCAAAATGAATGCTTAAAGAATATGATTTTTTTTTAAAGAAAGAGGGAAGAAAACAGTTGCCAATAGGGAAAAAGATTCTTATACTTCAAAAAGACCAAAACTGAGTGAATATTCTGTGATAGGGGAATACTTCAGTTATTGATATCATAGGCCTTAGAGGATAATTGGATGGATCCTTGGGAAGTTACTACATTTTATCTTTTAGCCTTAAAGAAGGAGAGGACCAGAAAGAGATAAAGATTGAGCCCGCTCAGGCTGTGGATGAAGTGGAACCTCTACCTGAAGACTATTACACAAGACCAGTAAATTTAACAGAGGGTAAGTTTTTACATTCTACATCTGCTTCTACTTTGTTACATGCATTGTGATTTGAGATGTTTACTGGAATAGTTAGTAGTAAAATGATACACTGAAAATAAAGTAGATATAATTATTTATTTAAAGAACTTTATAAGACCATGTGCAGTGGCTCAAACCTATAATCCTAGCTACTCAGGATGCAGAGATTGGGAGCATCATGGATCAAATGATACCCAGTTATTGAGACCCCCATCTCAACCAGTGGCTACATGGTGATACACACCTGTCATCCCAGGTACACAGGGTAGCACAAATAGGAGCACACAGTCCAGGCCGACCTGACATAAGTGAGACCCTATCATAAAAGTAGTCAACACAAAAAGGGCTAGTGGAATAGCTCAAGTGGTTGAGCACCTGCCTAGCAAGCTCAAGGTCCTGAATTCAAACCCCAGTACTACCCAAAAGAACTTTAAACTATCTGTCAAATTTCTGTATTACACTTTTTTGAACAACACTGTTCATGGTGGCATGTTGCTGCCCACATGTAAGTCTGGTTTTGAAGTTCCTATGAACTAAGCCTGGCCTTTCTGCCCTTTACGCTAGTCACCACCCTTCAGCAGCGCCTCTTACAACCTGACTTCCAACCAGTCTGTGCTTCACAGCTGTATCCTCGCCATAAGCATCTTCTGATCAAACGGTCCCTGCGTTGCCGGGTAAGTGTTCTTTCCCATAGAGTTGCCGTTTATACAAAAGGAAAGCAAAAATAATGTAAACCTGCCTGTTATCTGACCAGTGTAGTAAATATAAAAAGCACAGAGACTGTAACAGAGCCCGGGCACTATTTTAAATGCTTTCACTATAAAGTCAAACCTCATAACCCTATGGAGGGTAGGTACTGTTGTCATCCCTGTTTTACAGAGGTATAACTAAGGTATCTGAAGGTCAAATACATACCTGCTAGTCCCTAAAAGAACAGTGAAAAGAGTATATACTTTTTAGGCAAGTAGAGAGGTGTGAAAAACTAACACAAAATAAGCAACTTAAGAGGAAAAAAAACCCAGCATAATCAGGCCTTAGTATTCTATAGAACAAACCACAGTGTTTCATCAAAAAATAAATTGTAAAAATAAACTAAACAAACAAATATAAAAGAAATCTTTTGTAGTGATATACTATTCCACAGAACTTTCCATGGTGACTGTGTCTAAACAGCATAGGATGTAATCCACTAGTCATATGTGGCTATTGAACACGTGAAATGCAATAAATATGACTAGGGCACTGAATCTTTAATTCATTTAAATCACCAGGTCACTAGCAGCTAATGTTGCCCAATAATGCAACTCTAGATTAAAAGAGAGTTAAGAGGTATACCAACCAAATGCAATATGTAGCCTTTATGTAGAGCTAATCCATACAAAACACAGAAAGAAAGAGACCCAGGGAGAACAGGAAGGAGAAGAGGAAGAGGCAAAAAAGGAAAGAAAAATTTATGAAATCTTTGGAGAAATTTAAACACTGGCAGGATTTTTGATGTTATTAAAGAATTGTTCTTTTTTTAAGGACAATAATAGTATTGTTATTTTTTATTTATTTCATGGAGATACATGCCAAAAAATATATGGATAAAATTTATGATGTATATCACAAAATAATCAGGGATGAGGAATGAATGAGTGTGTAAGAGAAGCAGGGTTGGCCATTGTTTGCTAACAAGCTGCTAACTGTTGAAATTTGGTGACAAATACCTAGTAATTTATAATACCAACTGTATTTTTGTATGTTAGAAAATTTCTATAATAAAAACCCTTCTTAAAAAGAAATGGGCTGGGGTCATGGCTCTTGTGGCAGGCACAGGCCCTGAGTTCAAAGCCAGTATTTTGGAGGCTGAGATCAGGAGGATCATGGTTTCAAACTGGCTTCAAGCAGAAAATTCGCAAGACCCCATCTTAATAGCTGGACATGGTGGTACACACTTGCATCCCTAATATTTGAGAGCCTAAGATCAGGAGGATCACAGTTCCAGACCAGCCTGGGAAAAAAGTTTGTGAAACTCCATTTCAACAGAAAAATCTGGTATGCTGAAAAACTAAAAATAGGAGGGTTGGGGTCCAGAACAGCCTACACAAAAGGCAAGACCCTATCTCAAAGGAACCAGAGCAAAAAGGGCCAGGAGCATGGCTCAAGCTGTCAAGTGCCTGGCTAGCAAGCATAATGCCTGAGTTCAAATCCCAGTACTGTCAAAAAAAGAAACCCAAGCGCAGCAAAAAAAAAAAAAAAAAAAAAAGGAAAAAGAACATAGAATTGGTGGTTCAGCTAGAAAGCATGTGGAAAGATAGATTTAAACCTAATTATTTCAGTATTTACCTTAAGTAGCAACAAAGTAAGATGGGTGTAATGATGCTTATCTATAATCTCAGCACTTGTTATATAATACACCTTAATATAATAATATCTACCAAAAATAAAGCAGTTACCTTCTGTCCTATCAACCTCACTTCTAGTAGTCTTCTCTGCACTTCCACAAATGCAAACCAAAGTGTGCAGAGATTGCTGGGTGCTGGTAGCTAATGCCTATAATCCTAACTACTGAAGAGGCAGAGATCAAGAGGACCAATGTTTGAAGCCACCCTATGCAAATAGTTCATGAGACTCTATCTCAAAAAAACCCAACACAAAAAAGGACTGGCAGAGTGGTTCAAGTAATAGAGTGCCTACCTAGCAAGCTTGAGGCCCTGAGTTCAAACCCCAGTACCACCAAGAAAAAGTGTACAGAGATCACAGTGTATACACACAATGTATACTATAAATTTATTTAAAATGATGTATTAATGAGACATGTTTTTAAGTGCAAGAAACAAATGCATGGCAGTTACATAACTTTTTATGTAAGAAAGGAAGAAAAATTCAGACATGTAAATACAAAAAAAATTGGTGATAATAGCTCATATAATCAGCTATTGGAACAGATTAGGAAAAGCAGAAACATATCCATGCATATAAGAAGATTTGGCATTGCAGGTCATTTGGGAAAGAATGAACTATTAAATTTTGCTTGGTCAAACAATTTTATGAAAAAAAACGAAATTGAGTCCCTACCTCACACATTACACAAAAGTCAATTTCAAGAACACTATAAACTTAAATTGCAAATACAAAAAGCAAAACTTCTAGAATAAAATATAGGAGAATAGTACATAAATAAGACAAATAAGTACACAGTATAAAGTAAAAAATTACATTTTTGACATTAAAAGTAAAATTTTTGCCCTTATCCTAAAGAAAACCTATAAATAAATGAAAAGTCATCGAGTGAGAAGAGTACTTTGTAAGGCATATAATTAACAAAGGATTAATGTCTAGAATATATAACAAACTTTAGCAAATCAGCAAGGAAAAGATAACCCAATATAAAGCCAGGTGCAGTGGTACACGCCTGTAATCCCAGCACCCAGGAGACAGAGGCAGAAGGATCATGAGTTCAAGGGCAGCCTGAGTTGCATAGCAATATCTTGTCTCAAAACAAAAGAAACTCAATATGAAAATAGCCAGTAGATAAGATAATAATATCTAAGTCACGATGGAAAAAATCTCAGCCAATAAACCTAAAAGATACTCATTCAAACTTACAGAGTACTCACAGAAATGTATATTAAAACTGCTGTGAGATGCCATTTCATAATCAGACTTCAGCAGTTTGGTATTTCTCAAAGTAATAAATGCATACACCCATTGATCTGTTCTTAGGAAACTATCTCACTGATGCAGCTAGACATTAGAAAGTGATTCATGTACAAGAATACTCATTGCTGCATTATTTGTAGTAGCAAAATCATGGAAATCTCCTAAATGTCCATCAGTTTGTATCTAGTTAAAGAAATTACAGAAATCATTACAATGGGATGGAGAGACTCCTGTGTGTGCTTGAATGGAGTTCCAAGATAAGTTAAGTGAAAAAAGCAAAGGGCAAAAGAATGGATAAAATGTTCCCTTTTGAATTATTGTGATAAAAGAAAGATGGTGAATGCTTATACTTTTATGTGAATAGCCTGTCTGTGTATAGTTCACTCTAGGGAGAGGAACCAAGGGGGGAACACAGGTGATGGTAATCTTTACAGTGGACACTATTTTTGTAATGTTAAATAAAAAAATCTTAACCAGTTTTATGTAATACATTGTTTTGTTTTTTGGTGGAATTGGGGTTTGAATTTAGGACTACGTGCTTACAAAGCAGGTACTCTGCCACTTGAGCCACACCTCCACTACATTTTGCTGTAGTTATTTTGGAAATAGGGGCTCAAAACTGTTTGCTCAGGCTGGCCTCAGACCATGATCCTCCTGATCTCATCCTCCCAAGTAGCTAAGATTACAGGCGTGAGCCGCCAGTGCCCAGCGTGTAGTGGCTGTATGTGTTATGTGTGTGATTTGTTTTTAGGAAAGTTAGTAAATAGCACCCAAAAAAAAGAAAAAAAGAGAAAGTAGCAAACAATTGTTACTGTATTTTAAAGCATGGAGTCTAGAATTATACTACTTGGATTTAAATCCTAGCTTCCATTCTTACTGACTCTGTGAAGTTATACAGGCTATTTACCCTTCCGGTATCCCATTTTAATCACCTGTAAAGTGGGAGCATTAGCAGCTATGTACCTTCATCTAACCTCATAGTGATGGCCTCATGTGATGGCCAAATCAATTGAAGCCAGTGAGCACATGGTTCAGCACGTTCAGTAAGTACTCAGTGTATGTAGTTATTTCATTAATTTTTAAGGTTATAATAATTGGTAGTGCGGTTGCATATATCCAGAAATCCAAGGATCATCTGTTATAAATTTCAGTTATCAGTAGTATATATTCTATTTCAAAACATGGCACAATACCACAAAATTCTAGTAAATGCTATCCCTCTGAATTTAGTAGCTCTAAAGATCAGCAATGTATGTTCTTGTTTTCCTCTGATACGTGTATGTTTCTTTTTAGAAATGTGAACATAATTTGAGCAAGCCAGAATTTAATCCAACATCTATCAAATTCAAAATCCAATTGGTTGCTGTGTGAGTATTTTGGAGTTAGTGTTTGGGTTTTTTTTTCCCAGTGTAAAGTATATTTATTCTAGGCCTAAAAAAGGAAAAGAAAAATTGCGTCAGAATGATCCTGCTGTTCTGTTCCGGTTTTAAACTTAGTTATATACCATGAAGTTTGAGGTAAATCATAGACATAGAATCAAGGATGTTTGGATTATACCTGAGGTTCCAGCCACTTGGTTGGCTGAGGGAGGAAGATCACAAATTTGAGGCCAGCCTGGGCAACAAGGGGATAACGTACCTCAAAATAAACAAATAAATAAATAAAAGTTTATCTTTTAAAAAAAAGAATAATCAGTAGTGTTTCAGGGCTGGCACCAGTGGCTACACCTATAATCTTAGCTTCTTGGGAGGCTGAGATTGAGAGGAACATGGTTCGAGGCCAACCCAGGCAAATAGTTCACAAGACCCCCTTCTCCAAAATAACCAAAGCAAAATGGACTTGGAGGTGTAGCTCAAGCAGTCAAGTGCCTACTTTGCGGCGAGAGCCCTGAGTTCAAACCCCAATCCCATCAAAAAAAAGTGTAGCAGGGATATGATGATACAGTGTGACATGTAGTATATTGATTATTAAGTAGAAAGTTACTAGTGGTTCATTACAATTATAAAACACCTAAGTTTAGGAATAATCTTAGAACATTTCCTGGCACTGATATACAAGTGTTTATAAGAATAGATTACAGCCCAACAATATATTATTGAGACTTGGATTTTATAATCATTTGCCTTCTAGAATTACCAAGTCAATTAAGATCCCCATAAATATATCTAATAAATGTGTAAGGATAACATATATCATGATACATACACAAACATATAGCTCTAAACTCGCTCTGTACACATATAGGTACTGTACCTAAGATGTTAGAAAGAACTTGTTGCCACTTTGGTTTTATCTTGTCTTATGCTGTGGTGATGATTCTTTAAAATTCTTCTTCTCTCTTATCTTTTAATTAACATAAATTGTTTGTTATATTAGCTTTTAGAGAGTAATAATATTTCAAGAGACTTCTGTGAACATTAATGCATATTTTTATTTATTGGTAGCAATTATATTCCAGAAGTGAGAATCATGTCAATTCCCAACCTTCGCTACATGAAGGTTAGTACATGCTTTTTATCAAAAGGCATTGACTGGTCAGTGATATATGCATGTATATCAGTGGGTGACTGTGTGTATATATTTGGCCTGGGATACAGTGAGCAAGATACAGCAAAGCAAACAGTTTGAAATGATAACGAAATCAAGACTTTTAAGTTTCTTTAAGCTAGGATTCTTGCCATCATCACCTTTAAAATGTTTGTAGAAGAAGAAACAGGATGCACGTCTGTAAAGGTGGAATTATAGGTGAGGAAAAGAAAAGCTGATGTTGGACTTCATAGACAATTTTGTCTCTTCTCCAGCCTAGAGATTCTCCATGGTCTCATGTGTGTCTATACATCAGTACCAGGAATCAGCTAGATTTCTTCTTCACCACAGCTCCTCTCTTCCTTGGGTTCCTCATCTATACCACTTCCTCCCACGTAGACACACATACCCTAATAAGTCGTGGACTGTTCTACAGCAGCTCTTTAGCTTTTTCCTTTCATGCTGTCATGAAAGCATTTATCTAGTCCCTATTCCATTTGAAAGAATATTTTGCTGATTTCAAGAGAGTACCAAACAAGAGCAAATAACATTTGAAAGAGTATTTTGCTAGTCTCAGAGAGTACCAAATAAGGACAAATTGCCATGTTTTTCTAAAAAGTCTTAAAAGATTTTTACAGTCTTGATGTGTCATGGTTTTCTGTGTTAATATATCTGGCTAGCCAGTGGTTCCTGTGTTTTGTTTATGAAGGGTTTCTTTTTATTCCTCAGTGCCAACCTAAGTGGGACAAGAATTGTAAACTTTAAACTGTCACTTAAATAATATTTATATACATTCCTCAGAATTTCTGGATCTGGTAACTGACCCTTTTTATCGGCTCTGTCTCCTTTCTTCAGTGAAATAGCAACTCTAGAGAGTATATAACCTAGTAGAGATAATAGGGCTCAGTGATGCAGAAGTATTGATAGGTGTCTTTGCTCTGGAGTAATTGGGGGAGAATTTTATGAAATATCTGGTATAGTGGCTAAGATGGTAGTTATATTGCTTGACAGCAGCATGGCACATGTCTAAGAGATGCTTTTCTTATTCTGTAGGAGAGCCAGGTTCTCCTGACTCTTACAAATCCAGTGGAGAATCTTACCCATGTAACTCTGTTGGAGTGTGAGGAAGGGGACCCTGATAATATCAACAGCACTGCTAAGGTAGGGGCATTTTGTGTCATCCTGACAGACCCTGGGCTTTGCATTCAGTGGTTTCATTTGACCTGGCTTGAATGACTCCACAGTGTCTCTCATTTCCATATTTAATCAGCAAGTTCTGATTCCACCTCCTAAATTTATTTTTATCACTAAACATAATATATATAATATAATTATATTACACATATACTTAATTCATTTATATATATTATAAATATTATAAATATATATTACTGGAGAATTTCCATATCTTTTTCTTTTTTCCTTTGGTTTTTAATGATTTCACCTAACTAGTATCACCTCTAAAGAGAGATGACACTTATCTGTCCTTATTCCTTTTTTAAATAACACAAATAAGCAGCTCCAGTTAAGACAGAGACAGAAATAAGTGCCTGGTACATCTATCCAGCTTAAAGATTTGCTGTCTTTCTTTCTTTACACCACTCCTGATATATTTGTATCTGCAGTCAGAAATGTGGTTGCTGTTGTTTCTGTTAGCCTCTGAGATAGCAAAGTTAAGGCCAAATTGACATAAAAATAAGTTTTAAGAATGTGATGTGAATAATAAAAGAAAAAAAAAATGTGTAACTATTTTCCATGACCATAGTTGTCCCTGTGTCAGAAAATAGTATGTTAGTACTGTTGTTTCACTCTTTTGTTTTCTTTTGATAAACTGTTTCAAATAGTCCAGAAAATATAAAAAGTAATGTACTCTTCATCCCCTTAGAAAAGGAAACAAAGAAAAGGAGAAAAGAAACATTAAAGATAAAATGGGAGTGCCATATGTTCTCTGGTTGAATTCCCCATCACAGCCTCAGTGAAGTAACACTTGACTTTATCATTCCCATAAGTTTCTTTGTGCGTATCTTTTTGTTAGAAATATCTGTATTGCTAGGCAATGTTTTTAGACTCTGCATAAGGAGAATGATGCTGTATGTGTCCTGAAACTTGCTGCTTACTTCTGAATGTCTTGATCAGTGTAATACTTGGCCATATTATGTTGAATGAATGTCCTGCTACACACTAATCCCTGCTGAAACAGACCTGTCTATTCTCCAGGTGGTGGTGCCTCCCAAAGAGCTTGTTTTAGCTGGCAAGGATGCAGCAGCAGAATATGATGAACTGGCAGAACCCCAGGACTTTCAGGATGATCCTGAGTGAGTGAGCTTTTTGTGACCTTTCAACCACAGTTGGCTGATTTAGGATGACCACTTACATATTTGTTTTCTTATCTGGATTTTTGGTTTTTTTTAAATGTTTTTACTACTATATGATAGTTATACAGGGGGTTTTGTTCTGACATTTATTATTCATTCATTCATTCATTCATTCATTCATTGTACCCTGGTTTGGTTCATCTCTTCTATTATTCTCCTTCTTCCCCCTACTCCCCTTCTTAAAATGACTTCAACAGGTCTTCAGTGCTCCATGTTCATACATGAATAGACAGTATCTCAACCATGTTCGCCCTTCTTTACCCTCTTTATTTACCCTCCTTCTCCCACTATTACCTTCTTTTAACATGACCTGTTTTACATTCCTGCCCTTCATTATTTAAGTGTGTGTTCATTGTTCGTTAGGGTTTGCCTTGGTATTTTACCTGTAAATATATTTTACTTTAATAGTCAAACCCTCTCTGTTACTCTTCCTTACCCTTCCCCCTATACCTTGTATTGTTCAACAGTTTTATCTGGATTTTTAAAAATAACATTTTTCTGGTTTATAAAAATGATTACTGTATAAATTTGGGAAGTATATCTAATACCATGAAGAAGAAAATAAAATTATCCCACCAACAGAGACAAGCATCATTACTGTTTTGTTATCTGTCCTTCCAGATATTTCTTCCATCATTAGAATCATTCTGCAAATAGTTTTTAGCCTTTTTTTTTAACTTAAATATGTTTTCTCAAGTATTTTATTTAATTTTATTTTTTGAATACATGATTTTTTTGTTGGTACTGGGATTTGAACTCAGGGCCCTGCACTCGAGCTGTAGCTCCATCTGAGGGCATAATTTTAATGGCTAATTGACAGGAAATAGTATTCCGTACCTGTAGATTTATCACTGAATTTGCCCACACTCTCATCCCTTCAGGGTAATTAATAAACTTCACTTTATCATACTTAAAAATCAAGATGTTAAAAAAGCAAGCTTTTCCTTAGGTAAAGAGATCTATCCGTTAGGATCTAGTCTAAGAACAGAAATTACATCCATTATTTGAACAAAAGATCTATCCGTTAGGATCTAGTCTAAGAACAGAAATTACATCCATTATTTGAACAAAGTAATGTTAAGGAAATGAAAGTGTTAATTACCCTGATTTTGTCTACACTTTGTACACATGTATTAAGCTCTCACACTGTACCTCATTCATATGTACCAGTTATTATGTGTTAAATCAAAAAATTTCTAAAATAGGGCTGGAGGTGTGGCTCAAGTGGTAAGGCACCTACCTACCAAGTACAAAGCCCTGAGTTCAAACCTCAGTGTTGCCATAAATTAATTTAAAAAAAACACTGTTTGAGATGGGAATTCTTACTACCCTGATTTGATCATTATATATTGTATACATGTGTTAAATTACTGTACTGTTTCCTGTAAAATGTACTATTAAAATAATTGATTAAAAATAAAGAAAAGAGCTATCAAAATTCAGAAACTTGAAAGAGCCCCATGGAGGTGAAACTCAGACCTCCTAGGAAGTGAGGAAGATGCCTGGTGCTGGCATCTCATGGTGGTAGAGGAGGGTGGCATGATACAACTGGTTATACAAGAACTGGACCACTGCAACTGGATTGTGGCAGTTCCTGGGAGAAGAGACATGGCTGGAGTGATGGATGCCCAAGCAAATCACAAACTAAACAAGCTGAAAGGGAAGAGCAAAGCAGTTCTTCTTCCGGGTTTGTCTCCCTTTAGAGTTCCCCATTGACAGAACCTGATAGGGAGCCAGCCTACAGAGCAGAGGTGGGTTTAGTACAATTCCTATGTCACAAAGCAAGAGAAAGGTGGGCTTGGAGCTGAAAAGCAATAGCTCAATAAGCTGACAAAGGGAACATGTTAAGTTTTTTTAACAGAATAGATGAAAAGCTCCCACAGCAGGATATTTACAGAGAAGAGATAACATGGGATGGAGTGGAAAAATAGAGTGAAGGTAAAGATAAAATTAGTTCAGTGATTACTAAACTTCAGTTAACTTCAGGAAACACCAGGGCAGCTGCTTGGTTTTGTTATTCTGTAGTATTCAAGACCCCCACTCCCAGATGATCTCTAGCAGAGAATTTGTTTTTGAAAGCTTCTACATATATGCAAAGGTAAATGTAAAGGAATGTTTGCAGCAACCTCAGTATATGCTAATTGTGGTAAACTCATGATTGAATACTACACAACCATTAAATGGAATGTGGAAGATTTATATATTTATATACACCAATATGGAAAGGTGTTTTATGATGAACAGAGTGAAGAAAATCATGCTACAGAATAGCATGTCTCATTTTTGTCTGTTAAAAAGCAGAAAGTGTAAGCTTATAGAAAAATATGTATAAACACACCAGAGTGTTTACAGTTTGTCTCTGTGTGCTTATGAGCATAATAATGGGAAAGAGTTAACTTTTTCCAACTTAAAATTTTTATGATAGTATTTTACTTTTATAATATTAACAAAATAAATCAATATATTTTGGAGAAACTACTCATTGCTGACAAACAGGATGGTGGTTATATAAGAGATTTCCCATTGTGCCATAAAATGACTAAATCATTAAATCTTAGTGTTTGGCTGACTTGTGATTTACCTAATATTGTGCATATCTTTCCACAGCATTATAGCCTTCAGAAAAGCCAACAAAGTAGGCATTTTCATCAAAGTTACCCCACAGCGTGAGGAGGGTGAAGTGACCGTGTGCTTCAAGATGAAGCATGATTTTAAAAACCTGGCTGCCCCCATCCGCCCCACTGAGGAAAGTGACCAGGGCACAGAAGTCATCTGGCTCACCCAGCATGTGGAACTCAGCTTGGGCCCGCTTCTTCCTTAAAAGGTTCCCCTGGACAGATCCCAGCTGTGACTGTATCACCACAAACCATGTTAAAATATGGAAGACACTGCTTCATTAGGCCTTGTTTATAATGATGTACCCATGCACTACTGAATCCTGTTCCCAGGAGTGGAACACAGGAGTGGGAACACAGGGTAACTGCTGTTCCTCTTGCTCTCACCTCTGTTGATACCCATGTCTCCCTCTCTGAGCCCTGCATGTTGAATAACAACATAGCTCCATCCCAGTAAAGGGGATGGCTGTTCCTCAGTGGCATTAGATTTACCACCTAAGAAACTGACCATGTGTCTCTCCATCTGACCTCACAAAGGATCACAGTCTGACAGACAAAACATAAAGTAACAACCCAAAGGTGGACCTGCCCTTAATGATCCAGTACTGGTCTCAATGTACCAACTGCTTTCTGCATTCCATTAAATGTAATCTAGCAGTCTGAAACCTATCCCTTCACTTGTCATTATGGTTCTCATTTTGCCATAGATTTCCATTTGCCAGAAAAATAGAATTGTCACAGAGTCTTCAGTTTTGTGATGATGGGGAAAACGTGAAATTCTTAAGGCACTTTCATTTGCCCTCTTCTAAGTGAATACAGGACATTTATTATTTGCTCTTACATTCTCAAACTTTTAGGAAGAATTTGTAAAGCAAGTAATTACATGTCATATCAAATTCCATTCATTTTAAATATTGCCACACTACTTGGGGGGTTAATGCTGCCAGGGAGGCAGTCTTCATATATCTTACTCCCTACCTCTTCTCCTCTGCTCTGCTCTTTAACTCAAGAATTTGTGCTGAGTATTTGGGACCTGAAAGAAGCCCAAAGAAAACCTGAGTGGACAAGTTCACTTCTGGAATGCAGAAAACATTTTAAAGGTTAGATGTTTTTTAGCATGATCTGAACTAATGTTCTACTGATTTGAAGGGGAAATATTCTCTTGAGTCCAAAACTTTTTATCATATGGTGTATCAAGTAAAGACCATTTTGATTGTAAATTACAACAGTTCAGCAAGTAGCCCAGAACCAGTAGCCAGTAGCCAGGTGACCTACTGACAGATACGCTGTACTTGGATACAACTGGAGCTGAGTTGCTAATCTTAATTTCTGTGTTGTTTTCTAACATGAAACTTGACAAAGTAGACCACCAGCTGCACCATTTCTCTTTAAAAGTTAGTGGCCAACAGATTTGGAAGAAAGAAAAATTTCCTGTTTACCTCGGTTTTAAGTCTTTAGTTCAAAAAAAAATCAGATATATAATCGACAATATAGATAGTACCACAGTCCTTGTTTGCTCACTTGAAAGATGAAACTATTTAAGAAACTTTTTTGTGTATATGTGTGGTGCCAGGACTTGAACTCAGGGCCTACACCTTGAGCCACTCCACCAGCCCTTTTTGTATTGGGTATTTTCGAGATAGGGTCTCGTGAACTGTTTGCCTGGACTGACTTTGAACTGCAATCCTCCTGATCTCTGCCTCCTGAGTAGCTAGGATTACAGGCATGCGCCACCAGTGCCCAGCAAAAATTTTTGAAAGACACTAAACTATTCTCAAGCCCATTTTATGAAGTGATATTCCCACAGAGTAATATATGTGCTGCAGTGTGAGGGAAAAAAAATTCATCTCTAACATTATGGTGGTTAATAACTAAGTTGTAGCCTCTTAGGAGTTGGGGCAGGGAGATAATTACATGTTTGGAGATTGTAGAAAGGTTTAACCTTTTGTGACCCCCATAGAGTATGACATTTTTATTTCACTACCTGCTACAGCCTGCTGTGAAACCACTGTTTGATATTTGCCAGTAGAGAAAATGGGCATGAGAGCAGAGAATAACTTTGTACATTTACACATTTGTGTGGACTACACAGTTGTATGGCTGTATGCCTTTATGGCATATAACTGATATTTGTTCCTAAAAGTAATAATGTTGAAGTAATGGGTTTCATGACTCCTGTGTGATACTGAAACACAAAAACTTTTGATCATAGATTTGTTTTTTTTTTTTATCAGAAGCCAAATTAACTTACAGAATAACAGAGCCATTGGTTTAATGTTTCCTCAGACAGGTTTTAGTGCAGCTGTTATTATGTGTGCTTGTAGAAATGGTTCAACACCTGCAGCTGGTGAATTAGGAATTGTATCTGTTACCCTTTTTGTATTAGATCAGGTATAAGGTTTTTAATGCTAGTCAGTACACTACAGCAGTGGAGTTAGACATCCTTAGCACTTGAAACTATACTTTTGGAAACTTTAAGGCTAAATTAATTTGGATTTGTAATCTGATTCACAACCAAAGTTTTCTTTTGTTTATAGTGCATATTATAGGCATAATAAACTAAATGTCAGTAAATATTTGTGAAGAAACATCCTTTTGGTCCCTTTTGGGAATGAGAGGCACTCCTTGATCTTTATGAATAACAGGTTTCTGTTTTGCCTTATTGCTTAGTGTAGTGAAATAAAGCAGACAAACCTTAAGTGTCTTTTATTTCATTTCACAAATACTGGTTGGAAGTAGCATGAAGTTAATTAAGCAAGTTAGTAATGTGCAAATCAACTGGCGATTTCCCTTCCATTTATTTTTGAATTAACATACACTAATAATACAAGGGGATTTCACTGTGATGATTCTGTACATACATACAGTGTATGCTGAACATGCTCACCCTCTCCCATTATATGTCTGTTCCCCCTTCCCTTCTATTTCTTTACATGAACTAAGCTAAAACGTTACACCAGGTTACAGTTTACAGTTCACTGTAACATCAGATAGGTAGTGATTGTCTGAGCTCTTTATATACATGTTCTCAGAATCATTATGTAACTGTTACATATCTACCATCTTATTTCTCCTGGGTTATTGCTTACAAAGTTATCCTTTCAAATACACAAAATGGTACAACCTGCACAAGTAGACATTGATCCATCTTGCCTTGTACCCACCTAACTCTTCCCTCTTGTTGCTGTAGATGAATTGTTTATGGGGTTCCTGTCCAAACCAGCCCCACCTCTGACCATCAGTCTCATCCTCTTACCTATTCAAGGACATCACATCAGTGGCTTCTGCCAGCATGTGTGTATAAGGTCCTAGAGGACCTGAAACTTCCCTGACCTCAACCTCCCCAAATCCATATCTTATTCCTCCTCATACCCAGTCCAGCCTAGCCACAGTAGCTGCCCTGCTCTTCCTCAGTCACCTGGGCAGGTTGCCTGTCATGGCATTTACTTAGAAAGCTCTCCCAGAGACACAGCTCACGGCCTCACCACAGTCAGGTCTTGGTTCAGATACTAACTTCATGTCTTCCCTGACCATCCCACTTAATGTCAACTGCCTTCCTCTAAACACATTTTCTACCTGTCCCCCTTTTACCACCACAGCACTAATCACCATCCAATATACTGTACACTTACTTCCTTTTCTGACTCAGCCTTCTGAAACATAAGCTCCACTAGGACGGAAATTTTTTTTTCCCAATTCTGTCTGAGGATTGAACCCAGGGACTCTCACTTGCGAGACAAGCACTCTACCACTTGAGCTATGCCCCTGGCCCCTTGAGTATTTTGGGGTTTTTTTGTTTTGTTTTTGAGATAGGGTCTTCTAGCTGCCCAAGCTAGCCTCAAACTCATGAGCCTCCAACCTCTACCACCTGAGTAGCTGGGATTATAGGTGTGCACCACCACGCCTATGTTAAAATTGCTATATCTGCAAAGCCCACAACATCTAGCAAATGTAAGCACCCTATCTTTTTCCTTTACATAGATCCTGATTTTCTGTTAGAATTTTTCAAAAGCAGTTCACAAAAAAACAGACGGGAAAGCACAGAGATTCCCACTATGGACATATGGCACCACAGTAGTACACTGTTCTAACTGATGAGCCTATAATAACACATTATCACCCAAAGTCCATAGTTTGAATTAGCAGTCATTCATGTGGCACATTCCCTGGGTTTAAATGACAACTGATAGTATCGTATAGAATAGTTTTATAGTATACAGAATAGTTTCACTGCCCTTAAAATCCTCTGTTCTGCTTCATCCCTTCCATATCCCAAACCCCTGGCAAAGATTAGTATCCTTTACTGTCTCCATAGTTTTCTTTTTTCCTGAATGATATAATTGGAATCAGACAGTATGCAGACTTCTCAGACTAACTTCTCGACTTAGTAATATGCATTAAAGGGTCTTCCACATGTTATCATGGCTTGATAGCACATTTCTTTGTAGCAGATGATTTTATACCATTTTTTCCATATATACTATGCCTCTTGTCAGAAGCCAAACACCTGCTTACTTGATTTGTGCTTTCTTGTGGTATTTTCTCCACCTAAAATACTCTCCCTATCTTCACAATCAGGGTTACTTCTCTGCTCCCACCTAAATGTGATCTTAACTCACAACACTGTACCTCTCGGGGTGGTACCTCCGTTTTCCTTGCATTCTTGAGGTGCGTGTGCATAGCTATTCCTTTACTGAATTGCAAACTCCAGATCAGAGCCAAATCCAGGCTCTTGTTTCTCTTACACTCCATTTAAAGAGCAACCTAGAACAAATTTTAAAACTCAGACCTAAGTTGTTTACTGAGTTGCAATTCAGCCATGTACATCATATGACATTTTCAGTTAATGAGCAATATATATTAAGATTTTATAGCCCAGTGAAGTTGTGACCATCTTAAGTTTGTTACGCTTGCACAAAGATGAAATCACCTGGCAATGCATTTCTCAGAGTGTGTCCCTGTCATTAAGCAACCCAACTGTACTCTTACCATTTTCTGGTGGTCAGGGACATTAATAGTACAGTGAGTATATTTCACTGTGCAACATTTACACAAAGTAACAACTTTAAGTGTTAAATGAAAGTAACATTAAATAATATAGAACAGAAACAATGGGAAAGTTGTTTCTTTCTTATTCTCACACCCCTCCCCTTCTGATTAAGTCAAGGAAAAAGTACCAGTACTATTATGTTTATAACATCTAAAATGGCCTCATTTTTTAACATGTTTTCACAGACAACAACATCACTTCTAAATAACACTTCCATTTTCTTTGTACTTTTGAAGGCTACATCTAAACATATACAATTTTCCATTTGCAGAAGTGTTAGAAATGTTTCTCATAAATTTAAGAAAAACGGTTTGAGTGGAGTGCTACAGAAATTTTTGGCTATGACACAGGTATCTACAGAGTGTCAACCCTACTCAAACAAAAACAAAAAGTGGACAGGTGGCAAAATCATAAACATCAGAGAGCTAATGCGGCAGAACTGTCACAAAGTTCAAATTCTGAAGACAGACATCTAAGGAGAGAAGACATACCTGCTTTACCTGTGGCAGAGAAGAGAGTAAGGAATGTTGGCCACTATACAAGCAGGTAAGAGGAAGACAACTAAAATATTAAAGAATTGCTAAAGGCCAAATAAGAGCTAGCATGATAGTATAAAACCTTGGGAGCCCAAGCCATAAAGGGAGGTAGCGGTGTACACTCACAAGCTCTCTATAAAACCTCCATAGGGTGGGAGGTCTAGAATCTTGCTTGGTTTGGAGGAATACAGGAGGCATGCATATGGAAAGGCATGAAACTTTGCCTCCTTGCCTGGTCTTAGGAGTGAAGGGCCTGAGCCACTGAAGCAAGAACAAAATGCTGTCTCCCCAGGTAACAACCCATTATTGAGACAAGGTAAGAAAAACCTCTTCCCCTGGGAGGAACAAAATTCAGTTCTGAACCAACAATTCTGTACCGAGACCATAAAAAATTTCCTACCACTGCAGCAAGGACAGGAACTCTTTCCCCTTTAAAACCAGTCACGGATACAAGTCAGAGTTTAACTGCTACAGGAAAGGGGAAAGAATGTTAAGAAAGCAACCACTCCTCAGGCCCAGGCACACAGGGCCTATTAAAGACTCAAGCATGCTGGAGTCTGGGTAAGGAAACAGGAGACTTACCATGCAATAGGCAAGGATGAAGCATGAACACTTGAGAAAAGTTTTTCAGCCCAACTAACGCATAAAACAATGCTAGAGGATATGAAATCTGTGGTGCATTGAGGCAATCATCACAATAACAAGATTCAAACCTGATCAGTTACTGACTAGATAGACCAAACCCCACATAATGGGTTTATTGGGAACCCAAGCTCAGGAGCTTCTGAATAGGGACAGAACACAAACCTGTGGTTGCTGTGGGCTGAGTATGGAGATAAGTGGATTGTCTACAGGCACAAGGGAACTCCTTGGATGATGGCTCTATTCTATACTTGTGGTGAATGTAAAAATTCATACAAAAAGTAAACTTGTATGATACTTTCAATAAACATTTTAAAATGGAGAAATTTAATAAACCTGTTAAGTATGCTGGTAAATGATTAAGTCAAATATGAAGGTGGTATTAGAAAGAAGTTCTAATACAAATTTCGGCAGAACGGTTATGAGTTGTTCCAAAAACGAAAAAAAACTATGTGTTGATCCCTAAGTCAGAAACTGGAAAAACATAATGTCTTTGGATTGGTGATTTCACCATTTTTTTTAAGCTCCACACCAAGAAAGGTTACTTAATCTCTCTAAACCTCAATTTCTTTTTCTATAAAGAAGGGATCAACATACTTGCCTAAGGGACGGGGTTGCGAGATAAAATACAGGGCACCTAGTTAAATGTGAATTTTTGATAGCGAATCCTTTCAGCATAAAGTATGTTCCAAATATATTTATACTGAAAAATGATTCGTTGTTTCTCTCAAATTCAATTTAATTCATAATTCTGTTTGCCAACTGGCAACTCTACAGAGAGGTTATTGTGAGAATTAAATGAGACACTGGCACTGCAAGACGTCCGCCCACCATTCGTACAATAAGCGCTTAGTAGTGGCTAGTGCTGCTTTAACCCCAGCCCCTCATTCGTTACTTGTCCCTTTGTTCTTTCGCACGACTTTTAAATAAATCATCTGTACTTGTGGTCTTTCCATCCCGAGTAGACAGACTCCAAAGAAGCAGCAAGAAAGTGTAGAACACCAGAACCCCAACGGTTAAACGAAAGCATTCCAAGAGCGGGCGGCGTCATGACGCACGAGGCCCCACCCCGGGGGAGGAACTCGACGCATAAATAAGACGTCAAACGAGCCCGGCGCCAGCCCCAGGGCCTGACGGGATTGTGGCGGTCTTCTTTCCCTACTCGGAAGCTACCGCTGCCTCGGGACTCTCAAGATGGCGACCTCTCTGGGTTCCAACACCTACAACAGGCAGAACTGGGAGGATGCGGTGAGTGCGCCGGCAGGAGGGGGACGGCGGGAGGCGGCGAGGCGGGCCTCATGCGGGCGGGCAGGACTAGGGCTGCGGCGCGGTCGAGGGCATTCCGGGGAGGAGCCAGCGCTGCGGCCTAGCAAGGCGGGAGCAGGAGGCTGGAGAGCGGCCCTCCGGCGGCTTGGAGGAAGAGGGTTTAGCCAGGGTCCTGGGACCAGCCCCCTTTCCCTCCCTGCTGTCTCCAACCTTGGCCAGCTGGTTATCTATTCTACCGCTGCCTGCCGGAAATGCAGACAGCGCCCCCTCCCGCGACGCGGCCCGTGCTGGACCTGGGGTTCCTGCCGGCCTGTGTCCCCACTCCCCGCCCTCCCCCCGCCCCCAGGAGAGTGATGAGGTGACAGGGTTTTCGGAGCTTGATCTTCAACCAGATTTCCCATTTTCTCCAGGACTTCCCCATCCTGTGCCAGACGTGTCTTGGAGAAAACCCTTATATCCGAATGGTGAGTGATTGCATATTAAACGGGAGATATCATTCATGTTCTGTTCATACTGTGGTACTTGCACACCTCTGTTAGTGTTTTTGTTAGCCATCAAAAGAAAGTATTGTCTTGTATTAGCCCAGAGGGCAGGACGATTTTCAGAGTACTGTCATGCTTACTCTCTCACTTAGCAATTCAGTGATAATCCTTGTCAAATACCTTTCAACCACTGCACCTTGTAGTCAGTCTCTTTAATGTAAGGTACACCTTGTCCTTTAAAAATACAAGTAAAATTGCAACAATCAGCAATGATTAGGTTAGAGCTGTTATGGTCAGTCTCAGAGGTATTTTATATGTTGTAATATTCAAGATGTTTGAATAGCTTTGGGGAACAGAATGTCTAATATATACAGGACATCAGCACAGGGTGAGTATAGACTAGTTACCCTGTGAGCACACTTTGTCAAAAGGACTGGTCATTGCTTCATCTTGTCTGATTTGGGAACTGGAAAATGTTAGGAATTTTAGTTCTTGGGAGCCATAAGTGAACCTAAGAGTTGTGACTGTGGAAAGTTACTTATGTGGTATTAGATCCAAAGATTCTCAAGGCTGTAACTCACTATATGTTGTTAGAATATATACCCTGCCCTGTCCCCCCACCCAAAAAAAATAAAGTTGTTTAATTATGGTTTGGTTTGTTTTTTTCTAATTTAGAATGTCAGGGATCTCAAGATATATCTTGTTTTGTTCTTATGGGAAAAAATAGACTTCTGGGTTTTTTGTTGTTGTTATTGTTCCTGTAACTTCAGTTCTTTTTTATTTCAGACCAAAGAAAAGTATGGGAAAGAATGTAAAGTAAGTATCTCTGTTAAGAAGTAATGATTTCTTTTTTCTTTTCTTTCTTTGTGGTGAGACTGGAGTTTGAACTCAGGGCTTTGTACTTACAAAGCAGGCGTTCTAGCACTTGAGCCACACCTCTAACCCATTTTGCTTTGGTTGTTTTGGAGATGAGGGGGTTTGGGGGGGGGGTTCTCACAAACTGTCCAGGCTGGCCTCAAACTTCTGTGCTCCCAATCTCAGCCTTCCACATAGCTAGGATTACAGGAGTGAGCCACTGGTGCTTGACCAAGAAGTAATGATTTCTTTTTACTTCCTCCCTCCCCCTTTGGTAAAAGTCATTGCTGCAAGCTTTCATATACCGTTGATGTATTATTGGCTGGTAACTATTTATAGTGGAAGGTAAGAAAAGACCCCTTTAAAATAGAAATTCTTAACCTGATGTAGGTGAATTGACAGTAAACACCTGAGTTGTATGCTAAAGTTGTATGACCATGCATGTGAGCATTTCAGCTGAGGAAGAAAGTCATAGCTGTCATTAAAATTCTCAGATTATATGATATTTCCTGATTCCCTCCCTCCCAATCAATCAGTAAATAAATAAATAAATAAATAAAGGGCTGAATTGTTAGTGATGCTTACCTCTAGAGTAGGAGGACTAACTTTTCAAATGTTTCATTTGTGAACTATACAGTTTTTTAACTACTGGGAAAGGGTACAGTAAATTGGATTGAAACATCTGATGGCATTTGGACTAGGTGATTGCTAAGATGTCTTCTGAATCTTAGATTTGGAGATCCTTTCTTGAATCCTCCATTGTTATTAAATCTGGATTGATTGTGCATTTCAGGATCATTAACACTCTGTGGCTCTTGCTGTGTGTTCAGATCTGTGCCAGGCCATTCACAGTGTTTCGCTGGTGCCCTGGGGTCCGAATGCGCTTCAAGAAGACTGAAGTGTGCCAAACCTGCAGTAAATTGAAGAATGTTTGTCAGACCTGCCTTTTAGACCTGGAGTATGGTATGTTTGCCATGTCTAATATATCTAAAAGTATGCAGGTGCTATAAACAACAATCCAGTCTTTTGTCTCATACTTCTCTCCCTGTCTCTGGTTCTAATCCCACTTTGGAATATCTGCTGTGGTCTGCTTTACCCAGGAAAAAGATCATAACTAGGCTGTTCTACAGTCTTTCTGAGCAATAGAAGGGACTTAAGGAATAGTTGAGAAATAATCAGAACTGGCCTATACCTCCATCTCTACCCAAAGTGAAGTAAAAGGCATTAATCTTATGATAGGAAATTTCTTTGCCTTGGGCTTTCTTCTTGATCCAAAGCTTCTCCACAATCTCAACCAAAAACCTAGTTTAATTATGCATTCGGCTTTTGTCTTAGCTGTGTTATTAGACTGAAATAATGCTACTGTTTCAGAGCCGTTAGGAAATGATTTTTTTTTTTTTGGACTTGATTTCCATTTTATTATATTCCAGTACACAAACTTCCTTGGGCCAGTATTCTTAAAGTGGGATCCTTTCACTATACTCTTTAAGTACAGTAAGGATAAAACAGTCACCTTTCTGAAAATGGTAGAAGAAATCCAGAGAATGTTTTGTTTTTAATTATGGGTGTTTTTGAAAAAAGTAATTTACCAAAAAGAGTTTCTATATAATAAAAGAGAAAGGGAAAATGTGTAAATGTATATATGTTAAGTTCAGACAGTTACTCTGCTAATCAGGGTCTTGTCCACAAATTGTTTAATATTATTTGTATATTTGTTAAGGAGAAATCTGGTCCTAGAATACAGTGGCCCTTACATGACTGTCCATAGGATGTATAGGACCAGCCTAAAAATAAACCACTTGTACATTTATTTTAAATAAATTGTTATAGTAAAAGCTAGATACATTATTAATTTACAGGTCAAGTCTGTCAATAAAATGTTTCCTTATAAGATCTTCTAAAACACTAATTTCATCAAATTTCGTGGCAGCTCAGTGATTTGGACAGTTTCTTAGAATGCTATATAGCAGTATTAACCTGATGGTGCTAAAGAGTTTGAGTAAAAATTTAGTAAAGTGTCTGGTATCAAGTTGGAAAGAGGAGAAGGGAAGGGTAATGTTGTATTCTGTGTTGCATATTCAATACAGATATGTTTTTAAATATATCTGAGGTTTTTCTCCATTCCTTTGTGACAGGCCTGCCCATCCAGGTTCGTGATGCAGGATTATCTTTTAAAGATGACATGCCAAAGTCAGATGTCAATAAAGAATACTACACGCAAAATATGGAGAGAGAAGTATGCTGCCACTTTCTGCATGTCATTTTGGAGGGGTGGGGTTCTGGAGTTTTGTGTGTGTGTGCCCATGAGTGTGTATGTGTTGCGAAGAGGTTGAACTCAGGGCTTTGCAATTTATGTATTTTTGTATTTGCTAAAAATCCTGATGAGTCAATGATCTGTAAATTTGTCATCCTTATGTAGATTTCTAACTCTGATGGAACACGGCCAGTTGGCATGCTGGGGAAAGCCACATCCACCAGTGACATGCTGCTTAAACTAGCCCGGACCACACCCTACTACAAAAGGAATCGGCCCCACATTTGCTCCTTCTGGGTGAAAGGAGAATGTAAGAGAGGAGAGGAGTGTCCATACAGGTAAGAGCTGAGCTACACTTTCAGTATTTGCTTAGATGATGATTAGTTATCTAAAAAGTGGGAAATGCTAGCTTAAAATATTTGTGCTTTAAAATCTAAAGCTCTTGCAATTAATATAGTGTATTTCATGTCACAGAACTATTCAGTTTAGAAGAGCTTGATTAAATTATACTTCTTAAAGCTGATCCTTGGGAAACTAAATTGCTTTGCCAAATAATGTAGATGCTAACCTTAAAGTCTCTGCCTGAGAAGTAAGTCTTCACTCTTGCCAAATAAATGGCGTGAATCTCAGTGTGTAGTTGAAGTCAGAACAAGGCCAGACTTCTAAAGGCTGTGTATGTTTCAGTCAAGACTGCCAGGTATCTGGATTAAGAGTTCTTAACTGAGAGTTAACTTCAACCTCTCCCAACCCCTAACCCAAAAAATAATATATGCCTTTTTTCTGGAGTGAGGTCCATAGTTTTAATCAGATTCTCAGTGGAAAGCAAGACTTCAAATATTTTAAGAACCATTGACTCAGAGAGGGTTAACCATGTGTCCCTTTTTGTTTTGGAGTAGATGATGTCAGTATTTCTTTCTAAGGAAAATCTTGCACTAAATAGCCTTTTAAATGGATTTTAGAAAGCTGGGAAGACTGTGTGATACAATAAATTTCTTGGTATTAGCTCCATTTTGATGATAGTATTTTGGTAAGGACATGTTTCTAGTTAAAAGGCATTTCAGGATATATATATATTTGGGGCTTCACTATGTAACTAGTATAGAGTGATACCAACATTTTTCCCGTTTTACCTTTACGCATTGTTCTTTCATGAATCATAGACACGAGAAGCCTACAGATCCTGATGACCCCCTTGCAGATCAGAATATTAAAGACCGGTATTATGGAATCAATGACCCTGTAGCAGATAAGCTTCTAAAGCGGGCTTCAACCATGCCTCGTCTGGACCCCCCAGAGGATAAGACTATCACCACACTATATGTTGGTGGTCTGGGCGATACTATTACTGAGACAGATCTCAGGTTTGTGGGTATAATTTCAAGAGCTCTTTTTGCTTTCAGCTTGTTTTGCTTTGCAAAAACAAAGGCAAAGTAAAGTACATTTTTCTTTAGCTAGCCTATACTTGGTATCATGCTGACTCACACTTTTATAAAATTGTCCTTTACGATGCCAGAGTAGTAATGTTCATCAATAGTACTTATCTATCCTCGCATAAGGTCATAACTACATGGGATGTACTAGCCAATTAGAATTTTTAAAGGATGGCACACATCCAAGTACGATTAACTATGTAAGGGAAGGAGAGCTTTATGATTCTAAAACGTATGCTTTAAATTGTTGGCTTTTTAAAAGAGACTGGTATTTGAAAAATTTGGTTTTTGCTTGTTTGTTTTTGACTTGTATTTTTGGCAAATATAACATCTGGACAGAAAGGAAATGGAAATTACCTCTTTCAAAGAGATAACAGGGAGAAGAAACTCCTACCCTTGGTAGCCTGTGTCCATCAGCCCTATCTAAGTGCGCTAGGTAATTCCTAGGGGCTAGTAGACTTTCTTTTTTTACAGGGAGGGGGGGATGCGGGGGTTGGGGAACTGAAGTTTGAACTTGTGGCTTCACACTTGAGCCACAACTCCAGTCCATTTTTCTCTGATTAATTTGGAGATAGGGTCTTCCTAACTATTTGCCCAGGCTGGCATTGAACCATGAGCCTCCCAAGTAGCTGGGATTACAGGCATGAGCCACTGGTGCCTGGTTTAGCAGACCTTCTATAAAAGACTATAGAGTACTGAACTTGGTGGTTCATACCTGTAATCCCAACTGCTTGGGAGACAGAGATGGAAGGATCACAGTTTGAGGCCAGCTCAGGCAAAAAAGTTAGCAAGACCCTATCTTAAAAATAAACCCAGTATGGTAGCACATGCCTGATAGCCGAGCTATGTAGGAGGTATAGGTAGGAGTATCAAGATCCCAGGTTGGCTAACCCAAGCAAAAAGTGCAAAACCCTTCTGAAAAATAGCTAAAAGCATAAAGGGCTGGAGGTGCTACTCAAGGCCATGAGTTCAAAACCCCAGTAACACACACAGACACACACACACACACACAATGCTGGAGAGTAAGAGTAAATATTTTAGGCTTTGTAGGCCAGGTACAGTCTTTCTCACATAACAGTATTATTAGTCTTTATCTTTTAACCTTAATTTTATTTATTTTTGTCATGCCGAGGATGGAACCCAAGGCCTCACACATGCTAGACAAGTGCTCAACCACTGAACTACATCTCCAGCCCATAAATATTTTTTCATACATTCTTGGTTCTTAGCCAGGCAGGGTGGCATACATGTGTAGTCTCAGCTAATTGGGAGGCTGGGACAGGAGGATCTCTTGAGCCTAGAAGTGTTCCAAGATCAGCCTGAGCAACACAGTGAGACTCACAAAAAAACAAAACATTCTTAGCTTCGTGTGCCTCAAGTTTACTAATGCCTTATGTAGGAGTTAGGACTTAGGGTCCTTAGGGAACTTTTCTTCCACAGGAAAAGTGTTGGAGAGCCTTTATTTACTCATTTTTCTCCATCTTTCAATAAGCAACACCCACATTAAGGCAAGACATGGGAGACACCAATAGGTAGTTGAGTACATAACCATGGAGAACAAGTTCATGATCCATTTTCATTCCCCAGGGCACATCTGGGCTTTTTTTTTATTATATTCATATGTGCATACAATGTTTGGGTCATTTCTCCCCCCTCCCCCCACTCCTCCCTTACCCCTAACTCCTCGCTACAGGGCAGAAACTTTTTGCCCTTTCTAGTTTTTGTTGAAGAGATAGTATAAGAATAATTAGAAGAAGAACCAAGGGTTTTGCTAGTTGAGATAAGGATAGCTATACAGGGAGTTGACTCGCATTGCTTTCCTGTACATGTGTGTTACCTTCTAGGTTAATTCTTCTTGAACTAACCTTTTCTGTAGTTCCTGGTCCCCTTCTCCTATTGGCCTCAGTTGCTTTAAAGTATCTGCTTTAGTTTCTCTGCGTTGAGGGCAACAAATGCTATCTAGTTTTTTGGGTGTTTTACCTATCCTCATACTTCCTTGTGTGTTCTCGCTTTATCATGGTGATCAAAGTCCAATTCCCTTGTTGTTTTGCCCTTGATCTAATGTCCACATATGAGAGAGAACATACGATTTTTGGTCTTTTGGGCCAGGCTAACCTCACTCAGAATGATGTTCTCCAGTTCCGTCCATTTACCTGCGAATGATAACATTTCATTCTTCCTCATGGCTGCATAAAATTCCATTGTGTATAAATACCACATTTTCTTAATCCATTCGTCAGTAGTGGGGCATCTTGGCTGTTTCCATAACTTGGCTAGAGCTACAAATAAACATGTGTGCAGGTGCCTCTGGAGTAACCTCTGTCACATTCTTTTGGGTATATCCCCAAGAGTGGTATGCTGATCATATGGTAGATCAATGTTTAGATTTTAAGAAGCCTCCACATTTTTTCCAGAGGTTGTACTAGTTTCATTCCACCAGCAGTGTAAGGGGTTCCTTTTTCCCCGCATCCTCGCCAACACCTGTTGGTGGTGGTGTTTGCTGATGATGCTATTCTAACAGGGGTGAGGTGGAATCTTAGTGTGGTTTTAACTTGCATTTCTTTATTGCTAGAGATGGTGAGCATTTTTCCCATGTGTTTTGGCCATTTGAATTTCTTCTTTTGAGAAAGTTCTGTTTAGTTCATTGCCCATTTCTTTATTGTTCATTAATTTGGGGAATTTAGTTTTTTGAAGTTCCCTATGTTCTGGTTATCAGTCCTTTGTCTGATGCGTAGCTGGCAAATATTTTCTCCCACTCTGTGGGTGTTCTCTTCAGTTTAGAGACCATTTCTTTTGTTGAGCAGAAGCTTTTTAGTTTTATGAAGTTCCATTTATCTATGCTCTCTCTTAGTTGCTGAGCTGCTAGGGTTCCATTGAGAAAGTTCTTGCCTATACCTATTAATTCTAAGGTATTTCCTACTCTTTCCTGTACCAACTTTAGAGTTTGGGGTCTGATATTAAGATCCTTGATCCATTTTGAGTTAATATTGGTATAGGGTGATAAACATGAATCTAGTTTCAGTGTTTTGCAGACTGCTAGCCAGTTTTCCCAACAGTTTTTGTTGAAGAGACTGTCTTTTCTCCATCGTATATTTTTGTGCCTTTGTCAAAGACAAGTTGGTTATAGTTGTGTGGCTTCATATCCGGGTCCTCTGTTCTGTTCCACTGGTCTTCATGTCTGTTTTTGTGCCAGTACCATGCTGTTTTTATTGTTATTGCTTTGTAATATAGTTTGAAGTCAGGTATTGTGATACCTCCTGCATTGTCTTTTGACTGAGCTATTGCCTTGGCTATTCGTGGCCTCTTGTTGTTTCCATATAAATTTAATGGTAGATTTTTCAATCTCTTTGATGAATGTCATTGGGACTTTGATGGGAATTGCATTAAACATGTAGATTACTTTTGGGAGCATCGACATTTTTACTATGTTGATTCTACCAATCTGTGAGCATGGGAGATTGCTCCACTTTCTATAGTCTTCCTCAGTCTCTTTCTTCAGAAGTTTATAGTTTTCCTTGTAGAGGTCGTTCACATCCTTTGTTAAGCTTACACCTAGGTATTTCATTTTTTTTTTTTAGGCTGTTGCAAATGGAATTATTTTCATATATTCTTTCTCAGTTTGTTCATTATTAGTGTATAGAAATGCTAGTGATTTTTCTATGTTGATTTTATATCCTGCTACCTTGCTATAGCTATTGATGGTGTCTAGGAGCTTTTGAGTAGAGGTTTTTGGGTCTTTAAGGTATAGGATGATGTCGTCTGCAAATAGGGATATTTTGACAGTTTCTTTACCTATTTGTATTCCTTTTATTCCTTCTTCTTGTAGAAAGAGACAATTTCAAATACCTTTGTTGATATTTTCAAGGAATCTGGAGATGGGGAGTTCTTGATAAATAGGCTTAAAACTGTAAAGTATTTTAAAATATCTTTAGACATCTCCTCTATCTGGTACTTGAGTCCTGTGAATGTTGGAAAAGTACTACCTTGAAAATGTATTCACAGTTTTGTTATAATCTCCATTGAAGGTCTATAATTTGTTGTTGTTGTTGTTGTTGTTGTTGTTGTATACCAGCTCTTAATAGGCTAAGTATAATGCAAGGGTATGAAATGTGGCTTTGAGGATTTATAATAGAATTAGACCTAGATTCTGCCCTTGGTGGCTGATTGTCTGGGAAGAAGATAAAACAGAAGAATAGCTATTTTAAATTGAAATTGATGATTGTATAAGAGAGGTAAAATGCCCTAAATTTTAAATTCAAAGAGGAACATGTTCCTATCTTGGAACCAGGGAGGAGCAGGCTACTAGCAACAGCTCCATTTATGGAGCACTTCCTGTGTGCCAAGCACATTTGTTCTTCTAAGTAGCCAAATAAGCACATATATTTGTACACACGTATATATTGCCTCTTCTAGTACTGACAACAGCTCTAGCAAATTTTGAATCTAAATCCTTCTGCCTTCAAATCCTTTGCTTGTACCACTCTGCAGTTTGACATTTATGGGAAAAGATGTTTGCTGAAGACGAGGCAAGGAGTGAATGAGCTTCATTTGGGGAATGGGACAAGCAGAGGTGTGAGAGAGATGGGACAGGGTGCTGATATCCTGGTGCATGTGTGTCTCCCAGATCCCAAGCAGCCAGAGGAAAAGAAAAAGAGAAGGACGGTACTACAGATTCTGGGATCAAGCTAGAACCTGTACCAGGACTGCCAGGAGGTGAGTGCAGACTTCTGGCTAAATTCAGAAGCTCAGTCTGCCCTGAGGTTCGTCTGTTAGAAGAGACCAGGTCTGCAGCAGCTCTGTCTCCCTGAAAGCCCTCCTTGGATTTAAAGATGGTAGAAATAGTGCTGCTGATTGCCGTCTTCTCTGAGTGTTGGCTGTTTTTTCTTCTCCAGCTCTTCCTCCTCCTCCTGCAGCAGAGGAAGAAGCCTCAGCCAACTACTTCAACCTGCCCCCAAGTGGTCCTCCAGCAGTGGTGAACATTGCCCTGCCACCACCCCCTGGAATTGCCCCACCCCCACCGCCAGGTAACTTCCTTCCTTCCTGGCCCAGAAAAATCCTTGTGAAAGTCCTGCACCGTTCTGTCTAAGGCAGCCAAGTCCTTTGCATTTTCCTTTTAGAAGTGCACAAGCGAAGCTGATAGATTGAGATTTCTGATATTTCAGTTTTCTCCTCGTCTGCCAATGAGAGAACAGGCACCAGTTTTCTGAAGATCTGAGTATATGTATAATCAGGGTGGAAGTTACTGGACTACAGTGACCTGCCACCAATAGCAGCAGCTTCCTTCCCTAAACTAAATCCTAACTGATGCCCTAGAACACTATTGCTCAAAGTGTGGGCTGTGAGCAGGTGTCATTTCACAGAGTATTACCTATCTACAAAATATGGAGTTTGTGCCAGCATGTAAATTAGTGAACTATTTCCTTCATTAGAAAGTCGTGTTACAAAAAAAACTGTCAGATGAATACACAGTGTGCTTGGCCATGTAATTGAGTTACATTTTGGCTCAAGCTCTTATCTTTTCATTGTTCAATAGCAAACAATTCAGGGACTAGCACTTTGTATAGCACTACTCCAGAGAATGTCAGTAATTGTAAGTAGTATAAGGTAATCACATTTAGCCAGTTTTTTCCATGATTGAGAGCCTGTACTTTTGAAGAAAGCCTGAACACCCTTCTTTCTGTTATCAAGCATTGAGGTTAATGATGACAGGCAGGTTCTTGCTATGGGGCCTGTTTTCTTCCTCTCCTCCCACATCCTCACCAAGTCCTGTCTGGTATGATTTGGTATGTTTGATGCATAGCAGAGGCTCGCATGTCTTACTAGCAGGTCCCCTGAGTCCCGTGGAAGGACTGAGAGAGGTTTTTGGACTGAGGTAGAAGGTTTCTAAAACCAAGGAAATAATATAGGTAAATACCCTAAGCAGGTCTTACGAACTGACATTTATTTAAACCCATGTCAGTCTTGATTTAAAAGTAGGTGGTTTTGGTCTTAGAAAGATTTGGAGGTTTGAAAGTTGTTAGGGGAACTACAAGCCTAACAAATTTGTTTTCTTCCATATGCAGGTTTTGGGCCACACATGTTCCACCCAATGGGACCACCTCCTCCTTTCATGAGGGCTCCAGGACCGATCCACTATCCTTCTCAGGACCCTCAGAGGATGGGAGCTCATGCTGGAAAGCACAGCAGCCCCTAGCACAGTATCACCACTCAGGGCTCTGTGGAAGAAAGGGCGCTTTAAAAATCCCATAAATGAATCTGGAATAAAATATATTTCTTTCTTTGTAGTTTCCATGGTAGCTAAATGTGTTCAATATAGGCAGTTGGAGAATAATAGCCATGCTTCCTAACATATTCAAAGGATCAGTGGACTCAAATAAGCTGCCATGAACCGCTGGTTACTACTATAATATTACTTAAGAAAACTAACGCCTGTTCCTCTTAACTGTATGGGGAACAAGCAGATGGGTGAGTTGAATATCCAACGGCTTTACCATCCCAATATGTTCACTTTGTATCTTTTTGGTGGGACGCAAAAATTGACCTGTGGTTAAAAAAAACCTTTTGACCATTTTTATTGTCTATTGGAAATTTTTTATCATCTAAAAAAATTAATACTAATCATTGTAGTGGCATAAGTGTGATTTAACTCTTGAAGTCACACCCTCAGAGATAAGCAGAAACCAGCACCCAACACAGCTCAGATCTTTTCTTTCCTTTTCCTCCTTAATTATAAAGGCATCTTGACAGTTTTACCTCTCTATGCCACCAGAAAAAACAAAGTAAAAATTACTTTTATTCCTGTCAGTCAGATGGAAACAAAATTTATGGAGCTGGTATTACTGAAGAAACTGGTGTCTGAGATGAAATTGTTTTAAAGAACTTCCTATAAAACACTTTAACAAACTGAAGGAAGAGCCTTGGAGTGTGTTTGAATGGAAGACTTATGACCTACAGCTGGACTCTGATCTTCAGCATTCACCTTCGTGTGTCTTCAGCGTCTTGTAATTCCCTGCTTCTGGGCAGGGGACTCTGGTCTTAGAATGTTTGGATATAACTGAATTGTAGATGGTAAAGGAAATTTGATGTTGTATTGTATTTTTTGTTTTTAAATGATTAAAACGGGTCAGTTTTCCAAATGTTGGCTTATTTCTGGATTTCTGTTTTCTTTATTCTTTGGTAGTTGAACTTGAGGTCAATGGAAGTCAAAAACAAGTTACAAATGTGAATTTAAAAATCTTTAGACTATCTTGATTTTTATCTTTATATCTGTTCTATGATGGTAAAAAAATCCCCGGCCTTTTTAGTACCTTAAAAGTTGGTTGAGAGCTTGAAAGTAAATAATGCACAGAAAGCACTTAACGCAGAGCATGGCATGTTATGGTTGATAACTGGTAACTTGCTAAATGGTAACTAAAAGCTTTAAAATGATTTGTTCAGGTCATTATAAACCTGAAGTCAATTCTGTGTTACTATATGAACTGTCTACTTACAGAATGGGTGTATGCCACTCAGGAAGGGAGACAAGTAAGAGAAGTTTCCCTCTTTTTCAGCCCATCCACATTCGGGGCAAGGGGGTTTCTTTGCCACTCACTCAGTTCACCGACCCACGTAAAAATCTCCCTCACAGACACACCAAGTGTGCGTCACCAGTTCTCTAGGCATCCCTTGATCTAGACAAGTTGACAACCAAGATTAGCTGTCATACTCCTTGAAGATTGTTTTCCAGTATTGCTGGAAAGCGTTAGCATTTTTTATTGTATTCTGCTGTCTCTCATATTTTTCATTTCTCCATCTCTCTGTAATGTATTGTAGACACCTTTAGTTCACTAATTCTTCAAGTGTGCCTAATCTGTTTTTAATCTCATTTTTGCAGTGCTGGGAATCAAACATTAACTTCTATAAAATAAGAGATTATTTTGATAAAATATATACAAAAAAGTGCATGAAACACATACAAAGTCAACTTAAGTATTTTTAAGTGAACACCTATATAGCAATCACCCAGACCTAGAAGAGAACTTCCCGTTACCCAGCGACAATTATGTGTCCTTTCACATTCATAAACCTTTCTTCCTCCAGAGTTACCACTATTCTGTCTTTTGTATGAAGTGAGTCCTTGTGTCAGTAACCAAATATGTATTTACTTGCCCTCCCCTCTTTACTGTTACATTTCTGAGATGGATTCATGTGGTGTAGTGTGATTCATTCATGTTCACTGTCGCTGTATCTAATGCCAGGCTTCTTGATGTTTGGCTAGTCTTGGCACTTTTCACTTATATAAAGAACAAAAACAAGTACAAAGTTTCATATAAGGAAGTTGGTGTTAGGTCCCCCAATTACATGCTTTTTCTGGATCCAAATTTTCCTTACTGAATAAAGAACAATGCATGTAGTATGATTCCATGAAAACAAATACCAATGTACCTATCTGTCTATATGTTCATATTCATCTATTCACAGAATTCTGCAATTGTAGGAGGACCAAACTGTTGCGGTGGTTACTCCTGGTATGCAGGAATGGAGCAGAATGCAGGAGAGGGAAGAATCTATACATTACAGCTGTGTTGCTATAGGATAGGCCTTGGATTTAGAGCCAAAAGCCCCATATTATGGTTCTTGCATTATGATTTATTAGCTGTTTGATGTTGGATAAATTGCTTGATTTCTATGACCTTCAGTTTAATTAATTAAAAGAATAATGTGCCTACCAGGCATGTGCATAATCCCAGAAATTGGAGCGTTTGTGTTTGGCAAATACTTTTTACATTTTACTTCTCACTTTTTTATTTTTATAGTAAGCATTTGTTTTTGTTTTTTACATCAGCAAAAGTTACACTGTCCAAAGAAAGGAAAAAGAACCCACCTTTTGGTTCAGGAAATCCCCCCAGGTTCTCTCCTGTACATGGCAGTTGCAGTTACCTTCCAGAGCTCTACAGAGCCAGCTCAGGCAATCCAAGTCCTCTCTTCTACTTTCTAGACACTTTAGTGGTTGACTTTTAACTTATGGAAAGCTGACTTTAAACAAATCCCCCAAATCCAAGAGTATACACCAACTGCAAGTAATCCTAAACTTCAGGCTTCTGGCCCCTTGGCACCCTGAAGGGGAGTAAAAACACCAGAGCAAAATGTTAAGGGTAACCACTGTGCCACCCAGCCTGGCATCAGGGATTCCTGTCAAAGGGAATCTGGCAGTGACAAGATGCTTTCCTTCAGGCACCCTAATGCCAGCCCAGTAGCCTGCTTCTCAAGCCACAGCCACTGTAAAAACATCTATTGCAGCCAAAAGCAGTGGTTGCAAGAACCTAACACTGAGCCTTTTAAGAATGTTTCCTGCACTGTGCTCCCAAAAGCCCCATAATATCTCCTATACTAATCCTCATCTTACAGATGGAGAAAAAGAGGTTCAGGCATGTGAAATGACTTGCTCAAATTCTCCCCAGCTCACAGCAATGGAATTAGACTCTATTCCATGCAACTGGATGCCCCCAACTCTACTTTTCAACTCAAATGCCAAAGCATTGTGCCATGATCATTGATTCCAAAGTGAGTGGGCAGTGGCTTTGACACCAAGTGCAGTGGAAAGAGACATCCCCTGAATCAGACAGCTTGCCCCTTTGACTCACCTCCCTCTTTATGAGCCTGTATATCCATGTCTGTAAAATGGGGACAAGACTCTCTCAGGTTGTACTAAGGATTAGGAATAGGATATGGAGAGAAGCTCTGCCAGTCCAATCCCTGAGGCACTTAATAAAAAGCAGCAATTGCCCCCCACACCACTATCACCACACCACCACTTGAACTAATAGGCCTTCTCAGAATGGAGGGAGAAAGAAGTCCTTATATGTGCCCCAGTTTGCACCTATCCTGTAAGGTGCCTCCACAGGGTGGTCCCTTCTTTCCATCCTCATGGCTGCCCCCTATTGCAGGCCTCACCCGTTGCAGACTTCCTGGCCTCCAGCATTGCTCCTCTCTGATCTGTGCCCCATGCAACAACCAGCAAAGCCATCACCAAAACCTCTCCCCTTCCTCAATAAAGCCCCCACCTCTGGACCTCAGAGATTCTTAACAGCTTTTCCTTTCTCCAAAACACCCTGCCCCTGGGTTCACTTCCACACCTCTGCACATGCTAGTCCACCTTGCCAAAAATGCCCTCCCACCACATCATCTTTCCTTCCAACGTCCTACTCAAATCCTCTGCGAAGCTTCTGGAATCCCACCCCACACTCAGGGTTAGGAACCCCCTCCCTCTGCTCCCTGACATAGCAGGCTTCAGGGAGATTAAGGTGATTCACTGCTTGAAAAATCTCTCTTCCCCACCATCTTTTACTCCTAGGGACCTGGACCTAGTAGAGAGTCTAGCACATAGTAGGTTTTTAGCCAATGCTTACATCTTGAATAGGTGAAGACTAACTGCATCTGAGTAAAGGAAAACCTGTCTAATTATCAGAGAGATCCACAGGAAATGGGCTGCTAGTGAGCTCGCCACCATGGCGGGGATGGGGTCAGCTACAGTAGCAGGGAGGTACAGATGCATGGGCATGATTACTAAAGACACACACTGGGGGCAAGTTACCATGGAACCACCTGGAGCACTGGTTATTAATAGATTCCCAGCCCTGCAAGTCTGAGACAGGCCAGAAATCCATATTAGAACCAATGCCCCAGGTAATTTGAAGAACATCTGCATTTGGGGCTACTGAACTTTGTCATCTTTGAGACCTTTTGCGATAATGTTCTGTGTGTAGGCTCTTCATAAACTGTGAAGTTCAGTCCACAAGTCTTGCTCCAGATGTTACCTGAGTCTCGAGACTGGGGAATTGAGGCTTCAGGCTGGCCATCGGACTACAGGCCATCGGACTACAGGTCATCAGACTCTGGGAGGTTGCGGACCCAGCCCTGGGCCACCCTGTTGAAGTTGGGTCTGAGGCGGAGGAGTTCCAAGCCACTGAAAGGCTCCGGCACAAAGGGGGTGCCTGCCCTGGGAATGGTCTCCCCAAGAAGGGGTCCTCCAAATGGCACCGGGGTCCTAGGGAAAGAGCAACAGGAGAGGTGGTCTGTATAGGAGACCAGTAAGTGACCATGTCAGCAGGTCACCACACATGGCTCCTCCCTGCCTCTCTCTGGGCCTCACTATCCCCTTCCATATAATTAAATAATAGTACTATTATTTCCAGCTTTGCCCTTTCACAAGCCTGCCCCTCAAGGGGATGGAGCAGGAGTGAAGTTTCCAGATCAGAATTGTCTTGTCCTAGGCAAAACTCTAGGCTCCTCTTCAGGAAGCTCCAGAAGACATCAGCACTGGAGGTAGGTTTTCCTTACTCTTGCCACCTGTCCTTAGAACAAAGTACCCACACACTGCACAAAGGATTAGAAAGAGCACTGAGAATCAGGGAAATGAAGGGGTACAACACTTCCCCTATAAGACTGGCAAAAGGGAAGAATTTGATAATGGGTCAAAGTTAATGAGGTGGCAGGAATAAACTTCCACTCCTAGTCTGCTGATTAGAGGGTAAATTAGTGCTGCTACTTTGGAGCACAACTTGGCAGGATCTAACCTGAAAATGTGTGACCTCTTGTCACCCAGCAACTCCATCTGTAAGCATGCGGCTAAGGCAGGCACATGCACCTATGCACAAGCAAGCAGACTTCAGCAGTGCATTAGTGACAAGCCAGAAGCAGTCCCTACGCCCACTGCAGAGGAATGCACAAGACAGAGATGGTGTCTCACATGACAGGACATGACACAGCAGTTCAAAGGAAGGAAACAGATCTAGATGTGCTAGGGTGGCAGATTTCGAAAGCACAATGTTGAATGAAAAAAGCAAGTTACAGAATAAAATGCGAAGTATCAAAACACATGTGCACACCCACAAAACAGTGCCATAAGCACTGTAGACATATGCCACTGCCTGCAGAAATATTCTGAAAACACATAGGGCCATCCTGACAACCTTGTTACCTATGGGAAGGGACCTTGGATTAGAGAATGGTGAACAAAGGGGCCCTGACTTTACTTGTAGTTGCCTATTTTCTTTTCAAAGAGAATGTATGGTTTTTATTGTATTTATTCATTTTATTTATGAATAAAAAACTAGAGCTAAGGTTTGAACTCAGGGCTTCACACTTGCAAAGCAGACACTCTACCTCTTGAGCCACATTTCCAGCCCATTTTTCTCTGGTTATTTTGAAGATGGGGTCTCGGGAACTATTTGCACAGCATGGCTTAGAGCCATTTCCTCCTGATCTTATTCTCCCAAGTAGTTAGACTTACAGGCAGAAACCACCAATGCCTGGCTATGTATAATTGTAAACTACTTTTTCTTGTATTTATTTTTCTTTTATTTATTTATTTATTTGCAGAACTGGGACTTGAACTCAGGGCCTACACCTCCCACCTCCAACCACTTCACCAGCCCCACTTTGTGTGTGTGTGATGAGGTTTTTTGAGATAGGGTTTTGTGAACTATTTGCCTGGGCTGGCTTCGAACTGTGAACCTCCTGATCTCTATTTCCTGCGTCTAGGATTACAAGCATGAGCCACCACCTGACTTTACTTATTTTTAAATATGGAACGCTTCACGAATTTTCCTGTCATCCTTGCACCGGGCCATGCTAATTTCTGCTGTGCCACTACAATTTTAGTATATGTGCTATCGAAGCGATACTTTTTATTTTCTATGTTTATTTATTTACTTACTTGTTTGTTTGTTTTGCAGGACTGGGTATCAAGACCAAGGCCTTGGCATATTAGGCAAGTGCTCTAATACTGAGCTACATCATTAATATTTTTTAATTTTAAAGAAAATAAAAAGTACTGCTCATCTAGCATTTTTCCTCTATCAGGGACCAATACAAAGAGAAAAGCAGTTGCCTCAGGATAGAAAAGCAAACCTTGCAACAGGGCTTGAGATTCTGCCAGGAAATCGTGGCTGCCTAGACCACCCCAGCTTTGACCACAGCAGTGAGGCCCTGCAGGACCAGGCTGGGCAGTGGCCAAGCCAAGCAGGCCTCATAGTTGGGCCCTTGACTGGGAGACCAGACCCCTGGATTCTGAGCCTTGTTTGGCCACCAACAGAACTGTTCCTCCTCTCCATGCTTCAGTTGCTTCTTCTGTCCCAGAAGGGTTCTCCCTTCTACTGGCAAGAATGGGCCTCTGCTGTAATTTTAAGGCATGACATGAGTGGGAGACAGGTCCTGAACTGGCTGCCTGGACTGAATGTCTGTTGAGGATTTGAAATAGCTGAGCAGGCAGGGTTTGAGGGCCCAGGAGGAGAGACAGGCAGTCCTGCCTGATGGAGCTGCCAATGGGTCACAGCTCACACAGAGCCTATTGGGCCCAAGTCTTCCCATCAGGGCCCTTCCTGGATACTTAGCTGTTTGGGACAGTCACATCCCTCCTGAGCCATCTTTTCTCAAGCTGATTGCCTCCACCCCCATCCTTCAGTCCTTCCTCAGAGGACTTCATCTCCAGGCCTCACCCTGGCACGTATCCATCTGTCTTTGCCAGACAGCCACCATGTGTGGTCTGAGCAAATGCCAGGACAGCTGGACCACGGGCCCCTCTCTGTGGATCCTCCTTGCCCTCATTTTATCAGCCTAAGCCAGAGTACATATTCAGGAATAGCATCGGACCAAGGAAGCCAATTGCAACAGAAATGTGTCCCCAGCAGGAGCCTTCCTCCAGAGCCAAGCTGCAGCCTGGACTCCTATGGTCTGTTTTTGGGCTGACAGGACAAAATGTTAAATTTATCCCTTTCAACTTCTCCAACCCCTGTTAGTTTTTCCAATCATTTCAGTCCATAAATAGTAGTAGTCACCATCATAGTAGTACCAGAGGAAGATACTGTTTATTGAGAGCTTATTATTCGCCAGAAACTTTGCCTATGGCTTCCATGTCATCTCCATAGCAACCTTATGATATAAATGCTACTCGATTTTATAGGTGAGACAATGTAGTCTCTGAGAAGTTAAGTCACCTGACCAAAAGTCACATAGCCAGGCCTCAAGTCTACATTTAAGTACACGTTAAGGCCATACACTATCACTTTTCAGTGACCCTCACCCCTGCCTCACACTACTGGTGAAAGTAAGGAGAAGCTTTCTGGTCCTGGGACTGGTGAGCTCCGGGATCCCCACCCAGGGAAGGACATCGAGATATCCATCACAGAGGTGGCCACAACAGCGATGGAGAACAAGATACCAGCTATGAAGTCAGACAAACTCAACCTTGGATCTCAGCCCTGCTGCTTCCTCCTCCATCTTAAACTTTGGGCAGGTTATTCATATTCCTGAGCTTCTGTTCTTCATTTGCAGGACTCTGCTGTCTGCCCCATCCTGGTGTAGGGGACGCAGCAGGATGTGTGGCACATTCGCCGCCCTTCACTGCACCCACGTTTAATGAGCATCTATTAGGCGCCGGTGCACTGTTGTAGCCAGACCTCCATAAGCACACACCAGGTGGGGGCGCCGGCACGCACCCGGCGGGAAACGCGCGCCAGCCTCAGGCTCCGCCCACACCGCCCGCCCAGCCCCGCCCGACATTACTTGTTGAAATTTCGGCGGTCGCGGAGGCTGGGGATGTGACTTCGGCCATCGATCTGGTAGTCCCGGTAGCTGACAAACTCCTGCCACGGACAGCGGTAGCCCTTGGGGATGGCGGTGTGGTTGAACTTCTCTGGCGGGACGCCCTTCAGTGGCTCGGCATAGCCTGGGGACACAGCAGCGGGCGTGGAGGGCGGGCGGCAGGGAGGCCTCGGCCCCTTCCCCCAGCCCCCACCACCCGTGGACGAGATTGAGGGGAAAGCCCGTTAGGAGAGGCGTGGAGGAATGGGATGACTAAATTGCTCCCAGGAAACTGAGATTGGAGCAAGAACCTTGAATTGACGTGCGACCTTGGGCACATTGCTGCGACTCTGAGCTTGGGTCGGGTGTGTGTGTGTGTTGCGCTCGTCCTGTCCCACCGTCACGCACACCTGCACTCAGGATCCCGCAGCCCCGGTCCCAGGACTCAGGGCAGCCACTCACCTGGAGCCAAGGCGCTGGGGCTACGCGCGCACTGTCCCGGGGCGGCTGCCAGGTGGGCGGCCTCGGGGCTCCCAGGCGAGGCCGGGAAGACGTGGAGCTCTGAGCGGTAGTTCTGCCCCTCGGGGCCATTGATAACCTGGACACATGGTGACGCTCAAAGGCGCTGCAAAGCCGCATCCCAGCTGCCCCGCCCCTTCCCGCAGCTCCGCTCCGTGGGGTTCCCACGCTCACCGTCCCTGTCCCGGTCCCCGGCGCCACTCCTCCAGTCACCTTGCCTTTGGCGCTTCCCGCCAGGATCTGTCGGGGCAAATATACTTCAGAATGGTTCAGAGGGCAAGGGGTCAGGGTCCTCCTAATGGGAGATGGGGGAGAATGGGGAAAGAGAGAAGAAGGCGGCAGGAGAGAGAATCCTACCGCCCACGGCCAATGTTCCCCAGCCTCAGTTTTCTTGTCTCTCAAGTGGGAATGATGATAGGATCTACCTCAGGGCTCTATGTAAGGATTCATGCTAGCACTGTCTCGGGCATGTTACACAGGTACTTTTTACCATTCTTATTTTTCTGTCACCCTCAGTTGCCTCCCAGGTAGCCCAGAAATTGAGGGATGTATGGATTCAATAGCTCTGATTTCTTTAGAAGAACCTGACACTGCCTGCTGCCTTTTCAACGCCTGGGAATTAACCATTCATACCTTCTTTCTTTACCAGATTGCTCCATGTTCCTTTCCTTCTTCCCGCGGGAAAAACAAAAGACATTTTGAATTTTCCCTCTTAGATCAAGCTGTAGTCTGAACTAAATCCTGCCTGCTGCAAATTTAGCCCAGAGCACATGGATACTCTTTCCCATATTTGGTAAGAGCCAGAGTCCAGTTCCTGTACAGTTCCTCTCCTGGCTTTATGTTTTGTGTCTTGGGACAGGTGCCTAAAGGTAGAACCCTTCTCAAGCAAGAAGGAGCTCAATCTGATGGAAGCATCACAGTCTCCCCAGCTGGAGTATGAGGGACTCTCCAAGGGTCAGAGGTCCTCAGCCTGTCTTTAGGCTAACCACTGGCTCTCCCTTGGTCAGCACAATGGAGTCTTACCTCCCGCTGGCTAGCTTCCAACTCAAAGGTGAACCTTTGCACACGGCGCTGCCTCTTCTGGAAAAGGAGGGACCCCCGGTTGTTGCGCAGAGATAGCTCCTCTATCATCAGGTCCTGGGGCACACTCAGCTTCTTCCCCAGATCCAGGGAAGGGACTGCAGAAGAAGCCAGAGAGGGCTTTTGCTACCCAACTCCCTGATGCACTCCTGTCACCTATCACAGCACTGCATGTCGTATGTGAGAATGCCTGTTTCTCCCCACACTTGCCAATGCTGGGCGTCATCACTCTTTGGAGCCTTTACCTATTTGATGGGCAAAGAGTTTCATTGGCATGTGTTTGATACTTCGTGAAGTTGAACACTGTTTCAGAAGTTCTTTGGCTATTCATACTTATTCCCTGTTTGTCCCAGGCAGCAATTTGCCCACAGAGGTGAAGTTAGTGAGAAATGACCAGACTCTAGACATTCTTTCAAAGTAAACGGCTAATATAGGATGAGAGCAAGGGATGAGTTGAGGGTGACTACAAGGTTTCTGACCTGAGCCACTGGAAGGATGGAGCAGCCAGCCACAAAGATAGGGAAGAGACAATTTGGGGAAAGATCAGGAGTTTGATCTTAGAAATGTGCCTTTTTAATTTTGAAAGTCTTTTATTATTATTTTTAAAAACCAGCATAAATATTGAAGTTAGAAAATATAGACATAAGCAGAAAAAAGTGAAACCATTATCTACCACCTAGAGATTGGCACTCTTACCACCAGAGTGTATGTCCTTTCCTGTCTTTTGCAGTGACTATATATTTATGTGTGAGCTTTAATGAACTCATAGCATCAGGCTTCAGAATTTGCTTTCATCAATTAAGCTTCACCTTTTTGAGTAAACAAATGTTTGTTTTATTTAGCATATCTAGTCCATATTCAAACTCTCCCAATTGTCTTCAAAATTGGGCATATTTAGTTTGAGGAGTCTTGTAGACATCCAAGTAGAGCTGCTGAGGAGAACTTGAATGTGTGACTCTACTACTAATGGAAGAAAACTGACCTGAGGATCAAATTGGGGGGCATCATAAGCTTGTAAGTGGGATTCGTTGTTATTTTATGATGGAGAACATTTCATTTATTTCTTTTCTCACAGTTAGGATTAGTCATTATAGCCGTTTAGAGGATCTTCAGGACGGATGACTGTCCTTAGTAGTTTGAGATCTATCCCCATCCTCTGTGCCTTCCCTGCCAACACATATGACTGAGAAAGGAAGCCTTTGGCAGGACAGAAGTGACAGAATGCTGAGAACTGTGCAGGAAAGGGTTACATGTGAGCCAGCATTGTCCATCCCTAACATCAGTGTGTATGTAGTTCAGTGGGAGAGCACTTGCCAAGCAAGCACAAGGTCCTGGGTTCAATCTCTAGCACTGCAAAAAAAAAAAAGATAAACACAATAAAATCAGATAGGTGACTGTGCCAGCTCTGTAAATAGTATTTTGAGTTGGTAGGCTAGATGAGGCCAGGAAGAAATGAGAATAGATAAGGAGAGCCAAAGACTGAGTGCGGAGCCTCCAGTATTTAGACAGGAGAACTAGCTCTGGGCCCTGGAAAGGCAGCCAGTGAAGTAGGAGAAAATCTAAAGAGGGTGGTATCTTGGAAACCAAATGTCAAAAGATTTCAGGGATGACAGAGGGACCAACTGAGTCAAGTGCTGCTGATATGTTAAGTCAGGTGAGGGCTGAAAACTGCCTGCCGTATTTAACAACTCAGAGTCATTGCTAATTTTCACTAAAGCTGTTTCTAGGGAGCATTTGGGTGGGAAAGTCTGACTGGAGAGGGTTCAAGAGAAAATGGACAGGGGAACAAGTTTAATTGCTATGAGCCAAAGCCAGGACATTCTACATGGCAGTTGGTTTGGTTTCTTTAAACAAGTGAACAACATGGGGAAAAAATGTGTGTGTGAGAGATTGTCTTAAATTAAAAGACATTTAAGAAAAATAGCAACCAAATATGAACTATGGCCCTTGCTTGAATCTCTAGATAAGACAAGCTGGAGCCTGGCGCCAGTGGCCTGTAATCTGAGTCACTGGGGAAGTACAGATTGAGAAGATCTGGATCTGAGGCCGGCCCTGGGTAAAAATGCAAGGCCCTACTTGCATTTGAAAAATAACTGAAGTAAAAAAGGCTGGAAACATAGCTCAAGTGGTAGAGCACCTCCTAACAAGCATGAAGCCCAGAGGGGTCGTAAAATGACATGCTCTTTGGTTTTAGCTCTAGGTCCCCCCCAACCCCGGAGGGACAGTGGGAACTTGTACTCTACTTTTGTTTGTGTTTGGAGATCAGCAAAATAAAATGGTAAAAAGAAAGGATGGGAAGAAAAGCACCAGCTAGAGCTTGGAGGAGCTGTGCCCTGAGGGACTGCAGCAGCAGCAGCAGCAGTGGGACCAAGACTAAGAGAGGCTGGTTTGTACAAGAGGAGCTGAGGGCTCAAGAGGACACTTGGCAATGCAAGAGGAGACTTGTCCAAGGAATGTCCTTGAGCCTGAGGAGGGGCAGAGCAGGGTGTTCAGTGCCCAGCTGGCAGGGTTGGAGCAGACAGGTATGAAGAGCCCACCCAGCCTCTCAGGAAGGAAAGCTGGGAGCATGGGCACAGCTGTAAGTTTACAGATGCCGCAGAGGGTGTCTACAGATGTTCTCCATTAGCTGCTTCACTTTTCTTCATGAAACAGGAAGCAAGGGCATTAGCTGAGAACGGAGATGTGGGAGGAGATGGTGGTGACTGAGGAGTTGTCATGCAGGAGAGCAGCATGGGAGAGCAGCCAGACTGGGCAGATGGACGTGACTGGAGGGCTCGGGGCGGGGGCGGGGCGGGGGGGTGGTGGTGCCAGTCATTCCATTCAATGGAATCCTGAACAGCCCCTGAGAAAAGGAGGTAGATTTTTTTCTATTCTGTCAACAAATATATAAAGAGCACTTTCTACATGCTAAGAACAGAATAAAATCTACTGTAAGTTAAAGGTATAGGCGGTGGAGTACAGAAGAATATGTATTCTAAGATTCCATCTGTGTGTTATTAAAAATAGTTAATGTCTGTGTATGCATGGAAAAATCTGCAAGGAATCATGCCAAATATTAACACTGACTACTTATGGGATGTAGGAAGGACAAGGACTGGAAATTGTTTACTCTGTTGTTGTTAACAAGAAAGTGTACTGAATTCTTAAGAATATGAAAGACCAGCCAGATACATTGGCTTACACCTGTAATCCTAGCTACTTGGGAGGCAGAGATTGAACAGCAGTTCAAGGCCAGCCTGGGCAAAAACTTAGAGAGCCTTGGGTCTCTTCCAGCCTGGGCATAACTATGAGACCCTATTTGAAAAATAACTAAAACAAAAAGGGATGGGGCATGGCTCAAGTGGTAGAGTGCCTGCCTACAAGCACAAGGCCCTGAGTTAAAACACTAGTACTGCCAAGGCAAGGAAAAACAAGAATATGAAAGACTATTTATACATAAATATTTAATAAATCCCCACATGATATTCTCAAATACTATGCAAATGAACTGAACTCAATTTTTTTTTTTAAGAAAAAGGTAAGCCTACTTGACTAATTCTATTTCTAGGAATTCATTCTAAGGGAAAGAGTTGAATAAACACGTCCAAAGACATATACACAGGATGTTTATTGCATGGGGTTTAAAATTATGAAAATTAGGGGATCAGCCTTGGGATGCTATTAGTGGCTAACTGTTCACAATGTCTTCAGGATGGAAGCTACCTCAGGTCCCCTTGCTCAGGCAGGAGGAATTGGGTGGAACAATTCATGCTCAAGCATCCCCTGCCCCACAAAGGGTCAGACTGAACTTGAACTAGAGCTGAGCACACATCCCTCTTAGCATTTCCCCTGTCCTACTCTGCTTCTCTCCCCGAATAGGTCACTTGCACAAGACTGCTCAGGCTCTGCTTCTAAGACTCCCACCCAAGATGAGCCATCGACCACCATTGGAGTTGGTTAAATAATTTATGGCACGTCCCAACAACAGTTCACTGGGGATGCAGAGGGGAGGGGGCAGTGAGAGAAATCATGCTAGGATGAAAAGAAGTCTGTGGCATGCTGCTAAGTGAAGAAGGAAGCAAGCTGAAGAAATGGTATATGGTATTTAGCCCACGTGTACATGTGCTTTTATAAAAGTATTACATATGAATAGAAGAATTTGAACAAATATGTTAACAGTGGTTATCTCCAAATGGTTCCATTACGAGGAGCTTTCACTTTCAAAGTCATTCCCGTGTGTTTTGCTTGAATATCTTGTAAATGGATTTGTTATTTGCATAACCATATAGAAGAAACAGCTCTGGAGAAACAGAGACCTCAAGTCAAACCCCAGCTCTACACCCTACCAGATGTTGACGACAACAATTCCCCTGTCCTACCCTGCTTCTCTCCCTGGATAAGTCACTCGCTCCTCTAAGCCTCAGTTTTTCTCATCTGAAGAATGGGGATCATAACATCTAGCTTACAGTTATTGTGAGGCTCAACAGACATAAGGCACCAAAGCTCCTAGCACAGCGTCTTACTCATAGTACCCAGGAATAAGGATAAGTGCTTTGATTGTTATTGCTTTACTTGTTTTTAGGTGGCAAGACCATGAGATTTACTTTTCCTACCTACTTTTCTTTCATTTCAAAATTGTCTTTAATTAGTACTTTAGCAATAATCAACAAGTTATATATTTTACATCTGGCCTAAGTGGTGTGTGTCAATATTTGGGAGTCTTTAATTAATTACCAAAACAAGGGAAATGAGAATGCACTGCCCAGTTCTTCCAGTTAAAGAATTGATACCTCACAGTTTGCATATTTCAGCAACAAAATCATGGGGATAGTGATGACGGTGTGACACAGTGGCAGAACTTGCCATGCTAGTGTGAGGCCCTGGGTTCAATCCCCAGCACCAAAAAAGGGAAGAGGAGAGATAAAAAAAGAAACATGAGAGCAACAAAAAGAAGCAAGAAGTAAAACAGATTAAAAGGCTAGCTCACATACAAAGCCATACAACACAATTAATGAATGACTTTCTTAGGAAGCTGAAGGTGCCAAACTGCAGAAGATCTCTTGGACAGCATTTGTCAGTGCGTGCTCACTGTCACCTGCATCACAGTCACTTCAGCACTTGTTCAAAAGGCAAATGTGTGGGCACCACTTCAAGTCCTCAAACCAGAGTCCCTGGGGGGGTAGTTGCCTTGAATCTGTATTTTTAACCAACCACACAGAACCACTGTGATTCACAATAAACCTTTGAGATCCCCAGCTTAGTTGAATTAATTTTTAAAATATTTGAAATGTTCTAACACAAATCAAATAAACAGACTTCAAAATTATATCAAAGAGGTCTTATAAAGTTGATAAGCATGAATTTTAGGTGTTTTATTTATTATGCAAGCATGCTTTTTTGGTGGGACTGGGACTTGAACTCAGGGCTTTGCACTTGCAAAGCAGGCACTGTACCACTTGAGCCATACTTCAGCCCATTTTGCTCTGGTTATTTTGGAAATGGGGTCTTGCAGACTATTTGCCTGTGCTGGCCTTGAACCAAGATCTTCCTGATCTCAACTTCCCAAGAAGCTAGTATCACAGGTGTGAGCCACCAGCTCCCAGCTCTACAAGTGTACTTTTTTTTTCCTTTTATTCATATGTGCATACAATGTTTGGGTCATTTCTACCCCCTTCCCCCCACCCCTTCCCTTACCCCCCCACACCCTCCCTCTCCCCCCTTACCCCCTCGCTACCAGGCAGAAACTATTTTGCCCTTATCTCTACTTTTGTTGAAGAGAGAGTATAAGCAATAAACAAGTGTACTTTTAAGTGAAATGGTTTGAGTCCAACGGAGTAGCCTGTTCTTGCTCCCCTCCCCACTCTCCCTTTAACTTCTAGCTGTGGAACTGGGCTGCCAGGGCTGTCCTGAGGCCTCAGTGAGACCTACAGTCACAATGAGCAAAGGTGAGTGTGCTGGGGGCCTGTGACCACAGTTGGGGCTGGATCTGGGACCAGAGCCCTCAGAACTCAATTTGAGGAAGAAGTGAGGCCTTATGTGGGGCGAGGACCTGAGTGGTCTTAGAGCCAGTGTCTCGGCACTCAAATTTCAGCTTCTGGTATATGGGCATAGGGAAGACCCCTCCAAAGCCTCAAGAAGCATTCCAGCCAGGTGGCAGGCTCCACAGACACTGTCAGTGCTGCTCTGGGATGCACACCTTCTGTCAGGCCCAGGGCCAGCAGGCCTGAATGGCCATAATCTAGAACAAAGAGAAGAGGCTGGATCCACCTTACCTGGTCCAGTGAGGTCCCCCATGACAGCCACCACTGGTTCCTTCGGCTCCTTGGGGATCATCCTGTGGAGGAGAGATTCCCACAAATGGCCCAGGCTGCCTCCCTTTCTTCCCAAACCTCTCCCTCCCCAGACCTCCTCCAAGCCCCTGATCCACCCAGTCCCAGTCCTGAATACCCTTGACTCATCCCAGAGTCACCAGCAAGGGCTTTCTGAGCCAAAGGGCCTTTGAGGGCTCTTTGCAAAGGAAGGTACTTGAGGCCACATGAGGTCACACAAATCAGGGGCCATGTTGCCAGAGAAACATTCTATGGGTGTTGACCTGTCCCCATGCCTGGGGCATCAGGGATGGGGGAGATGGGGTCTCAGGTATGATTGTCATCCTCTGACCCAGGAGGAGAAAGAGGTTGGGGAAGAGGAAGCATGGTTCAAGCTGGGGATACCCTGGTAAGCCTGCATGCTGGCACTTCTCTCCTGCCCCAAACACTTGGCCCTGGGCCTGCTTCAACAAGGCTGAGAGAAGTATCACCCATCCTCCTGTCTCCGCACCTGTGGGCTACTTTTCATGACGTTCTCTTCTCCCTCACCCCTTCTTTGCTCTTCCTCATCCTCCATTCCCTTTTTCCATCTCATGGCACTTTCCAGGAATCTTGGAGAAGCTTTACAAATAAACCTCCAAACTCCCAGAGAACCACTGCAGGTCCCCAGTCCACTTTCCCTATCTTTCATCAGGAGAGGAGGCAGAGCCATTGGGCTCCTTGCCTCCCCCAGATCCCAGTGATCCTCTCCTTCGTTTCCAGATTTTTCCATACTCCCTCCTTCAGAAGACAGTCTCCATCTGTATCACCCACACCCACATAGGGCTTTGGGTCAGCACTGAGCTGGACAACCTGAATCCGATTGGTGTCTTTGACTTCCTCTGCAAGTGTGAACAAGTTGGTTTCCAGCTCCATGCCTCAGTTCCCTCCCCTTAACTTAAGAGGGCTGGGCATCCATAATGGGCTTTCGGTCATCCATGAACCCTAATGCTTTGTAAGCACAAGTGCATCTGTGTGCTTTTCCCGCAAGGGTCAGGAGATGATGAGAAATTCACAGGTGCTGGGAAGGGTCCCTGATTTACAGGCAGGAAGCTGCTTTCCTCCCTCCAAGTCCTAATCAGAGATCCTCAAGTCCTAATCAGAGAGCCATGACCTACCCCCCACCTTCAAGCATGTTCCCTCCTTTCCTGTTTAGTGGAGAGTGACCTATATCTTACAGTTCTCCTCCTCCCAACCCAGAACCCAGGCTTCCCTGAAGCCCTATCTCCCCAGATCCTCTACAGAGCTCTGCCTCTGCTGGAGGTGGGGGTGCCCTGGGAATTGCATAGTCTCCTCTGCCTTCTCCACACAGCTCCCCCAAACTCCCCTAGGATCCTCGTACCTGTGAGGATGAGCCCACAGTGGGCAGGAAGGAGTGTCAGACCCTCAAAGATTAACACCTCTGTTGGAAAGCTGGAAGTTGTGTAGACAGTGTCTGTCTCAGTCGGCGGTCTCAGCGGTCAATGAGCAGGGTGTTCTCTACAGCCAGTTCTGGCTTCAGCTGACAGCATCATTCTTGCCTTGCCGTGGGTCACAGCCTTATTTCGGGCTGCAACAGGAACCAGGGCCAGATGCTAAAAGCACCAGGCCCTGGGGAAGACAGGTGCCCCGGCAGCAGGCCCTTGCAAACAGAAAGGCTTTCACCCACGGGTACACACACATTCACATAAGCATACACCAAAGTCACCTGGAAGTACTGAGTCAACTGCTGGCCACTTCAGCTTATTAAATGTTCTGTCCTTAGTGCCTGGAATGGTGCCTGATTGGAACTCAATAGATGTTTGTAGAATGAATGAATGCATGAATGGATGGATGAATGGATTGCTCCCCAACATTGTTTGCTTGACCTTCCTTCCTTCCTCTCCTACTTTCTTCTTCCCTTCCTCCTTTCCTCCCTCTCTCCCCTTCCTCTTTCTACCTTCTTATTTTTTCTGAGCCTCTCTCCATGGACTGAAAATAAATTAGCTAGGATTCTGACCTCAAGTTGCTCAGCCAGCTCAAATTCAGACCAGTAAGCAAGTATTCATGAGGTAATTATGGGAAATACTCTGGGAGAGCCAGGGACCAGCTCAGTCTAGAGACTGGGAAGGATGAGGAGGTGTTTGAACTGGGCTTTGGAGGATAAGTAAAAGGTCACCAGGCAGAGGGGGGCAAGGGCATTACAGGCAGAAGATATATCACCTGTGAAGAGGTAGGATCTAGGGCCCAGAATGGTGGTGCATGCCTGTAATCCCAACTACTCAGGTAGTGCAGGTAGGAGAATCATGATCTGAGACTGGCTGGGCAAAAACACAAGACCCCACCTGAACAATGAAGCAAAAAAGGGCTGGGGGAATGGCTGAAGTGGTAGAGTGTCTGTCTGCCTAACAAGAGCAAGCCTGAGTTCAAACTCAGTGCTGCCAAAAATTAAAATAAAAAAAGATGCTGGCAGGTAGGGCTAGAGCTGGGAGTTGTGGGCCGTGCTGAGCTGAGGTAAACAGGGAAAGAGCCCCCCATGCTTTCCAAAAGGAAACTGTTCCACAAAGTGCTGCTGAAGAGATTCAGATGGTGGAGTGGAATGGTCAGATTAGTATTTTCCAAAATACCTCTGGTTGCCAAAGACTTGCAGGGGGCCACACTCGAGGCAGGAGGAACTTATTGTAGCCAAATGAGATATGGGAGCTACTGGCCTGGGGTAGGGGCTGGGGGGGTAGAGAGGAGGAGAGGTAATTGAGGGGCACTTGAAGAATCCCCAGGTCTTGAAAATCCCCAGGGATTGAAAGAGGGAGGTGGGAAAGGAGCCCATGACTCCCACAAAGGAAGGAACAAAGTGGGGTGGGGGTCAATGCCAAGCTCCATCTGGATGACTTGGTTGAGGTGTTGGCACTGGGGCAAGATCACCAGTAGGCAGTTAGATACTGCATTCAGGAGAGGTTTGTAGCTGAAGTTATGACAGGATCAGAGGCACCCTGGGCCAGGGGTGGGGGGTACCTGTGTGAATGCAGACAGTCCCAGGGCACATTTCTGATATCCAGTTAGGACAGCAGCCTCCACTCTGATCTGGTCTACCCTGAGCTCAGCTTCCCACTTCTCAAGTTCCTCTGCCCAGTCTCTGCAGGGCTCGAGTGCCTAGAGAAGGTGGGCAAAAATGTTCCCAGCACAGGCTTGCTCTTATCTGGGAACAGGGACCCAGCCTCCTTCCCTGGGCAAAGGCTGCCCCATCAGGAGAAGAGGGCTACTGGTGGTTTCAGTTCTGGTCTCATTAGGGTTGCCAGACTCAAGACATGGCCTCCGCTGTGGCTTCTCTTCCAACCCTGGAACCGACTTTCTGTGAGGAAGCCACCCCACAGACTGGTCCCTGACCCAACTTGGCCCTGCCCTCTCCAGAGACAATGCAACAATGTGGCAAGGCCTGGGCAATAGCACCTGGAGACATTCCCTAGACCAACTCTTCCATCATACACGTGGGGAAACTGAGGCCTGGAGGAGTGGGCTACCCAAGGCCACTTAGTCAATGATACACCTAGGCTTCAACCCAAGGACCTCTTCTATGGTCCCAAGTTTTTCCATCATTCCCTATCTTTCCTCGTGACTGCTTATTCCCAAGCCCCCAGCCCAAGTGTCTCAGATATTCTCATCTAGCCAGCATTCTATGGACTCTCCCCATGCTTACAGAGAAAAGAAGGGCTTCAGATCAGCCAAAAATGACACCAGAAGCAGAAGAATGCAGGAAGCATTTATTGAGCTCGATTCTACTGGAGCCAAGAGTGAGGACACAGGCAAGCTCTAGTGGGTTAGAGAAGAGGGTGGGGGAGAAGGCAGTCATAGTGAGAGCACAGCCAGAGATAGAGCTGCAGCTTCCCAAGTCTGCCTCCTCCTGGTTCTTTGGGAAAATGCAGGTAGAAGTGGACCCTCCATGCCACTGCATTCAGTGTGTCTTTTCTGGGAGGCTCCCTTAGCCACAGTCTCCCTTGCTGTAAGAGACCCTGCAGCAGATAGGGGCCTTGGTAAATGTAGTCACTCGTTATTAACTAAGTGGAGTACCCTCTCATACTCCTACCAACAGGACCTGATCTGCAATCCTTAGACCCTAGGAACCCTCTGGGATCACTCTTTTATTCCAGAACATGCCATCCCGACCCTAACTTTATCTCATCCTGGCCCTAGCTTTCCTTAGCCTTACACAAGGGTTCCAGGTCTCCCTGATGGGTGGGTAAATCCAAAATTATACTCTGTCCCTGATATTTTTGGCACCATCCTGATATTTTTTTACCTACATACATTTAATCCAATGCCAACTCTGTCCCAGCCCCCTCTTTCATCCCCTCTCCCCCTCCCTCTGCAGAATATTCTGATGCTGATTTTCTGAACCTCCAGGGGCATCACCTGCAGTGATGCCCCAACTCTGGAAACTGCAGAGCTCAGCCACATTCCTCCCCAAGCCCCCTCCCCTGTGAATTGGAATCAGAGTCACTGAGGTTTAAGGGATAATCTAGAGCCTCCAGCCAGGCTCCCCAAGATCACTGGGCAACAGGCATGAACTAGGCCACAGTGCAATAGGAAAGAAATGGACAGAACAGTGACCACTCTTCTGGGCATGGTATGACACTGGGGTTGGGACCTGAAACTGAAGAAGAAGAATCTTTATAGGTAGCCAGAAACACAGGCCAACCTGGCCTAACCCTTCACCCACCTACTTAAGCTCATTTGCCCCTGAATTCAAGCTCCACAATTCTTCACCCCCACTCTTCCCCACTTCCTAATACTATGGAATGCGTTGCTGGACCAGAAAAGACCTCAGAGGTTACTGAAGCCAATCCCATCCCCTGCTAGAATCTCCGCTATGCATCCTGGACATGGCTTGCATTTTCCATAACAAGGAATTCTTTGCCTCCCTCTTTCCAAACAGGCAAACCCAAACTGAGGGCAGTCAAGTAAGGCCAAGGGGTAGCTCTATATTTCTTCTCTTTCCAGCTCCACTTGAACCCAGAACCTGCTATGAATAGGCCCAGAAGGATAGATGGGCAAGGGGCACAGGTTCTAGGCCTGGTGGAATCATCAACCTACAGTGCTCTTCTCTGGCTACAGAGAAGATACCCTAAACACCCTGAGCTGGGGTGGGGAAAGCAACATGACATGGCCTGGGGAGAATCTTCCTGCCCCTTCTCTCCACAGGGGCCAGCAGGGCACCTTGAGCTGGCCTGGGAGAGCTCTCTAAAGGTCACTGGGTAAAAATAGAGCTTGTCTGAGAAGAAATGGAAAACAGCTGCTCCTGCCTAGGACTTGGTGCCAAGGAGGTGGATGGTCAAGCCAGGGGCTGGGATTGGGACATGGCCTAGGCTTTTCTGAACACACCCCTCATGTGCCAGACTCCAGAGAGCAAAGCCCAGAGGGAGAAAGGAACATGGAATCCTGAGATGCCAAGGGCCATTTGCACAGCTGCCTCCTCCAAGGCACGTGTGTGATGATGGAAGGGAAATTTAGACGTTTGGAGACTATCTTGGCCAAAGCCACATCTCAGATGAAAAAGCTGAGAGGCAAACGGAGAAAGGGTCTTGCCCAGGGTTACACATTAAATGACAACGGCAAGGGCTAGAAGCCGAGCTTGAGTGGCTACTCCATTCCCAAGCCCAGAGCTCTCCTTCCCCTTTACCCCTATCTCTGGGTCTGTCCATTGAGGTCATCCCCTCGGAGTCTCGATGCTGGGGTCCCCTAAGCCCGATGCCTCTTCTCCTGGCTCGGCCTTCCCGCGCTGCGCGTGGAGCTTTAGGTGGTGCAGGAGGCCTCGGTGGGGAGGCTGCCACGCTTGAGCCTCAGGCTGCCGTTCCACCCGCGGGGACAGATATTGTAGCCTAGGATACCAGGCGACTTAAGCCCGGAGTCCTCGGAGTCAAGGGACACGTCGGAGTCTGTGGGCGAGCGGCGGTAGGGGAAAGACCTGGGCGGTGCGGCCTGCGGGCTGCGGGTACTGGGGCAGGACGCGGGCCCGGGCGGCAGCGGGCTCCGGGGAATCGGGGAGAACGCGGCGGCGCGCGCTGCCCCGGGGCCTGGGCGAGCGGGCTGC